ATCTGGAAACCGGTTGGGACTCCGAGGTGCTCGTAGGACTCACCGGCTGCCAGGGACCTAATCTCTTCATTTTGGAGGGTGAAGCGGGTGGGATTCGCCCCGCGAGTGGCTCTGCAGTCCTGATGCAGTGTTGCACACTTCGCAGGGTTGAACCGAAGTCCTATCCCAGCCGCTGCAGCCTCCACTTTTTTCAGGAGTGTCTTCATGCCCTCCGTGGAGTCCGATATAAGGGCGAGATCGTCGGCATAAGCTAGTATGGAGTGCCGTTGGCCGTGCAGCGAGTAACCCACTCCAGTCTCGATCGCGACCCGCACGACCGGTTCCAGAGCAAGGTTAAACGCGACAGGGCTCAGCGGGCACCCCTGCCGAACCCCCGAGTTAAACCCTATGGGATCAGTGTATCCCTCCGCGGTGCGTACACGGGTTGTGCATCCGTCATACATGCTCTCCACGATGTTCTGGAGAGCGGGGGGGACGCCGGCTTCCTCCAGGGCGCGGTAGATGGCGGCGTGGGGTACGGAACCAAACGCGTTGGTTAGATCCAGCCACGCTACCACCACCTGGCGGCCCGACCTGCGGGCGTCATTAAGGACCTCCTGCAGCACGAAGTTATGCTCATAGCATCCCTCGCACGGCAGGAAGCCCTTCTGGGAGCGGCTCAGCCGCTCGTTGCGTACCGCCCACGCCAGTAGCCGGTCGGCTAGTACGGCAGCGAAGAGTTTTGGGGTCGTATCATCCATGGCCAACGGCCGCCAGTTCGAGAGATCGCCCCGATCGCCCTTCTTATGTACCAGCACCGTGTTCGACGTCTTCCAGATAGTGGGGATCAGCTCCAGTCGTATGCATGCGTTAAATATCGCTGTGAGCACTCGACACCCTGGGTCAGCCCTTCGCAGGTCATCATAAGTCAGACCGTCGGGGCCCGGCGCGGATTTTGATGTCCGCCGGAGCCTCCGGTCTACCTCACTCACCGCGAAGGGCTGAATCAGGGCCTCGGTACTCAACTCGTCCGGAGCCCCATATTGGGGTGGGGGAGGCCGCTCTCCGGACGTCCCCGTCGACGCATGCATATCCCTGAAGTGCTCCTGCACCCTCTCTTTTGGCACTTGACAGTGCTGAGAGGGACCCAGGAGCACCCCCTGGACTGCGCGTCTTCGGTTGGTCCTATAGAGACGCTGGATCTTTGTGGCCTCCCTCACTAGATCCCCCCTATCCAGAAGGGCCGTCTCCGGCCGCTGGTTCCGCTGATGTTGCTGCGGTGCCGGACGATCGATGCGGTCCCTCGAACCACGTCCGTGTCCGGATCCACTTCCCCTCTGCTCCGCGCCAGCGTTCGACCTTCCTGCACCACTGTTCCCGCCGCTCACTGCTCTCACTCCGGAACCTTGGAGGAAGGCCGCAATTTTTATCACGACCTCCTCCAGATCTTCGTATGAAACGGCAGCCTCTGCCAAGCCGATCAGCAAGTCCCTCTCCACCGAACGCTGTTCCTCCGCTCTCTGGCGGGTATGCGGGCGTCGGTGGAGGGCCTGTTCGACCGCCATCGGCTGCCGTTGTTCCGGGGCCAGTGAGCGCCCAGAGCGCGTGTTTGGTCTGATGACGCCCGCAGGCCGGGCCGTCAGCCCAGGATTGACCCGCGCCCCGCTCCCTGCACCTTTTCTTCCCGGGGAATTCCGCGGAGGTCTTACACCTCTCCCACTACCCACCCCCCTGGACTTATTAAAAAACCCTTCCCTTACTTTATTCTTGCTGTTATTGTGATCTCGCCCTTCCGTCGAGCATGTCTGGGGCGCACCTGCAATAAAAGGGGTTGAGTTAGTTTCTGCTAAGATATTGAAGCGATTATCTAACTTCAACCCGCCGCTATTATTAAAATTATCATTATTGTTTTGACTCCCTGCTGGTGACCTGGGACTCTGCCTCGGGTCACTTCCGGGGGATCTGGGCGACAGGGATGGTCGGTCACCGCTTCTTCTGTCGCTGCGGATGGCCTGGGCGGTCGCCGGTGGCGGTCTCGGCCTCGTTGGTGCAGGCAGCGGCGGCAGGATTCTCCTATCGTCGACGGGCAACTTCTCCGACGGCCTCGGCCTCTCCTGGTGTTGTTGAGGGGTCCTTACTCCTTCTTCCTGACGCGGCAAAACTATGGGTGGAAAAATAGCTTTCAGAGTGGCCGCCAACGACGGCCCCACTACTTCTACCTCGACCACACGGGGGAGCCTCGGCGCTGCATCTGGTGATGTGGTGGTGGCACCGGGTGTCGCAGCTCCTCCTTGGATGCAGGGGGACATGATGGGCCCCCCTGAGCTGGTGGTGGTGATGGTGGTGGTCGTGAGCGTCACAGGCAGGGTGGGCGGGACCCTAGCGTCCTTCTCCGGAATCGCGGCTTCCTCTTGGATGGTTTTCAGATTGGCCGGATCCCGGGTTTCCCTCGTCGGTGGACTGCGGTTTCCTCCTGACGTCTCCGGGGGGAGCGAGGTCGCTCTGCCCGATGACCGCAGTCCACTTCTCCGTGCTGGAGCCCGTCCGTTGTCCTGTGACGCCCTCGTAACGCTCGCTGCTGTTACGGCGGCGTAGGTGGGGGATGCCGCCATCTTCCTTGTCCCCGGCGGCGTCGGCCTCAAGATGGGGTTGAATGCCGGGGAGCGTCTGGTGGTGCCCGCTGCTATGGGCGGTGGCGTGACCGCAGCGGGCTTGGGCTCCCCCGTCGTCGCCAGGGATGTCCTCTTCACAGGGCCAGGTCTCGTCACCGTCGTTGTTTTTGTCCGGCTGATGTTCGGCCGGATCTCCACCGGCACACTAGAGCTTCTCCGGCTTCTAGTGCAGGGCCCCGTCGTGAGGGTCGACGAGGCCGCGGGGGGTGTAGGTGGTGTACCCCCAGCTGCCGGTGGTTTTTTGGGGACGGTGCGCGGCCTGACCGCGAGCGTTACGGTAGTGGGAACAGGTGGAGGTGGTTTACCTGTTGCCGTCGCTGTGGCGGTCCTCCTTGGCCGCGTCAGGGTCGTCGACGTCTTTGTTGGGGCCGTCGGTTTCGTTGTTTTCACCGTCGACGTTGTGGCGGGGCTGGTGGTGGTGGTGGTCGCCCCGCTAGCGGCTGTCGACGTCGCAGGTGGTATTGTCGTCGTCGATGGTGTCGCAGCCGCTTCCTTCGTCGCCGCTGCTCGAGGTCGGGTCGTCTTGGACGGCTGAAGGTGGTGGCTGTCGTCTACGGTGACCGTCTCCGGCACCCGCCCGTTCCCCGCAGCGGTTTCCGCGTTTGTCGCAGGTCGCGTGATGAACCTGTCGATCCCCCCTCGTCCCGAGGCTCGGGATCCGACTACGCTGGAGGCCGACGTTCTCGTCGCTCTCGGACCCCCATCCGGGCTGAGGTTAGGGCTCGCCTGTACCTGCACATGCACCGCGGCGTGGTGCACTTTGATCTGCTTGAGGGGGTAACCCCCTCGACCGATCTCGTCACACACGCCGCAGCGATGCTCCAGAGTGTGGCCCGGATGGAATTTTTTCGCGTGTTTAATTAGGTCCGAGTGCGACTTGAACACTCCGCCGGTCCTTTTCCCGTGATTTAGTTCGTAACACTCGGGGCAGCGGAATTCGTCCGGGAACGGGTATTCAATTATTATTTTTACCGCGGACATTGTGTGTATAACTTATCACTAGTTCAATAAATAACGCAACAAATAAATAAATAAACTCACACATATAAGAGGACTAGACACTATTTAGAGAGAAAAAAAAAAAGAAAAAAGAAAGAAAGAAAAGCGCGATCGCGTGGGTATTACGGGTGTATAGGGCCCGGTAATATTTTATATAAAACAATCGGTCGATACGCGCACAGATACCTGTATATGGGGTTAAATATATACATAAATATAAGTAGAATAAAACAGGATCAGTCAAGTATTAAAAATATAAAAGAGAGGCCCACGAGCTGCAGATCAATTCCACAGTCAAGCAGCGATTTTAAGGAGAAAAACGAGGAGATAGTGGCAGTTGGATTTGAAAGAGGGAAAGAAACAAAGGAAAAGGATGTTATGGGCAGTCCCACGGTTATAATTTCGATCGAAAGTTATCACCGGGGACGTTCAAGGAGACAAACAAATTCGGCTCGAATTCGGAGTCGTTGACACCAGCCTTCAAACCGAATCAGTTGTCGCGGGGTCAGGGGTTGACAGCACCAGCGACAGGAGGTACACTAGGCGCCACCTGTCGCTGGAGGGGAGAAGTAGAGAGAGAAATCGCCACTTGCCTGCTTCGTCGATTCAACAGCCCGCGAGCCCTCAGTCCTCTGTGTCCGCGGTTCTGATTTTCTCGTCCCGCCGCCCCAAATTGGAAACCGGTGGGTGGCCAGCAGTCGAGCGCAGTCGAATCCCGTAGTTGGTCGCTTCGTGGCACTTATTGGCACAGCACGCGCGGATAAAGAAAAACGCCAATTATTCTGATTTTTTTGGAAGACGGCGGAGCATGAAAGTGAAAAGACAAGCAAAAGAAAGAAAAAGAGAAAGCTTAGTAAAGATTAGTAAAGAAAAATTTATGCTTGTATATGGCTTATTGAGCCGATCCCAGCGGCACTGCAATGCCGGGCCGACTCGTGGCAGAGGTGGAGCAAGCCCCAGACGCTCCGCCGTCTTCCAAAAATCAGATTAATATTCTGACTCTCCAATGGAGAGTGTATCAGATATTAAGCTGATAAGAACAGATACTACACTTTGATCTTAGCCATAAGGCCGAGAAGCGATGTCTAAACACTGTTTAACAGCTCTCTTATACACTACACAGTGTAAAAAGTCTTGCGAGAACGCGGTGGGCGATTGCACCGCTAGCGGTGAACTTTTGCCGTTCCGGCGGGTTCCGGAAATCGCCTCTCGGTGGCACCACTGTGTAGGACAGGCAAATTGTTTGAGGAAATAAAATATAAACGTACATTTCTTATAAATAGTACAAACAATAATATAATGTAACATTTTTTATAGGAAGACGTATCCATAAAAAAAAATTTTTCGCGACTTTTCGATTCAGTCTCTTTAGGACAGCCTGTTCAAGTTGCACAGTGATACGTCATTATGTTTTTTCTTCTGTTTAGATGTTTCTCTGTATTTCATTAGGAGTTTGCAAAGAATTTCAGTGTATAAAATTCTCGAAATTCCGACGAATACAAAGTGACCACGCGTCGTGTCGTTATCGATAACGAAGCAAAGTCGAGAGATTCTACGTCATTCGATCCCGACGAATTTCACGTATTACGTGTACAAAACTGAGCATAACAAATTTGTCGTGATGCGGGTAACAATTTAATTTAGATAACGCACAGTGACGGGAATCATGCGATGATAAACGCGAACGAGGAAGAGTTTGGAAAGAATACTGGTCCCCCGTTGTAACGAAAGACCGTAATATTACATCAATGGCCTATCAAACGTTCCGGGAAGAGTACATGCAAATGCCTGTGGTGACACGAGCTTATACAACAGCTTGTGTCATCACGACCGTTGCAGTGGTTCGTACAACATATTTTCGCCGGAAATGACTCCAAGTGTAGAGAATACACGATCGTAGAAAATGTTCGCAAGTTCATCTTATTTTCTTCGTTTCAGCAACTAGACCTGGTCTCTCCATTCCGACTGTACTTCAATCCTACATTGATCATAGAACAGTACCAGGTAAACAAACATTATGAATTATAGTGTATGTTCAATATATTCCTTACCATGTGCCACGTACTTGCAACAACCATTTCTTATGCATTATTTGATTCTTTTGCTGTGGTATATCAAAATGTAGACATGTAACCCCTATTAGATGTTCAGTTGAAACTGATGCCACAAATATGCTGTGGATAGAACAATTTCTAATGATTCTGATGGAATAGGGTTTCACTGTGGAAAGCCGTGGTTAGTTAATTATTTTTTTTAGTCATAAAGTTATAAATAAACTTTTAAGGAGCTAACACATTTTTCAAGTACGTTACCAAAATACATATTGTACTGAAGAAAATATTACAAATGCAACAAACAGTAGTAGTGAATGTATTAACAATTCATTTTTAGACAATCCATGATTTTCACTGTTGCACACTTGTTTCAGATATGGAGACTAATAACAACATTTTTATTCTTTGGAAATATGGGTTTCAATTTCTTCTTCAATATGATTTTCACATATCGGTATTGTCGGATGCTGGAGGAGGGTTCATTTCGCAGAAGGACAGCTGACTTTGTAATGATGTTCATCTTTGGAGCAATATCTATGATCGTATCCTTTTAATATCATTTCATACCTTTAGTACATCAAATACACTTAGATTTGTATTTACATGACAGTTACGTTTTCAAAAAATTCATGTAAACGCAGAATTATGTGTACAACAATTTCACATGATTGGTTTTTTATAAAATTTCCTGAACCACCTTTAGGCATTTGCATTTTTTGTTAACTTCTTGTTCCTGGGTCATGCATTCACAATTATGCTGGTCTATGTCTGGTCAAGACGAAATCCGTTCGTTAGGCTTAACTTCTTTGGACTGTTAAACTTTCAAGTAAGTTTCAGCCTTAAATTCCTCTCGTAGTTTCTAGATAGTGGTTCACTAGTGTGCATCTGTTTCAGGCCCCGTATTTGCCTTGGGTGCTACTTGGGTTTTCAGTACTCCTTGGTAATGCGATATGGGTAGATTTAGTTGGTATGGCTGTAGGACACATGTATTATTTCGCAGAGGATGTATTTCCACGAGTACGGGGAGGTTTTCGTGTTCTTAAGACTCCACAAATACTGTAAGTCTGAATGAGAAATTAAGGATAGGGAAAACAATCCAACATGTTCTGTAGAACCTATGAATGGCACTCTGTTTGCTTGCAGTAAGACTTTGTTCGACGCACACCCAGAAGATCCAGATTTTACTCCACCACCAGAGGATCGACCCGGTGGATTCAATTGGGGACAAGAAGCCAATGTGCAGTGATTCGAAATTCGAGATCCTGCATCCAAACCATCTCTCACAGATTGGCATATCAAGTAAACTTTTCTATTATTACGTATACAATATTGTTCCTTCATTTTCACTAGTTATTAACGAAACCGCGAAGTAATGGTATTGTCTACGATTACCGTGTGACGTGTAACGACAAGACTTCCAACTTTTTACAGGGGTTACAATTTTTTTCAACAAGAAATTTCGGAATCGAGCGTAACATCTGTGTGTTTTTTCAGTATATATTGTACAAGAGATATACATTGATCGTCATCGATGAAAACAGTATTTCACGGATGATCGACTATTGTGATACATTTATAATGCTGACGATTTTCAAAAAGGAATACACGAAAGAAATATCTTGTTCCGCACATTTGCGTTTGTTTATGGTGATTGTAACGAGTATGACGTACGAAACGCCTATAAAGTACAAAATGTAAAATACACGCGTAAAAATAATTTCAATGATCTTTGTTCATATACCCTAGGTGAATTATTTTTAAATTCGTTTTAATGCTGATTTCGTAATAATTCTGAACACTGTGCATAATAGAAATTTTTACGACAATATTGTGCCTGGATAATATACCCTCGTGTCCTCCTTTTAAAAAGAAAAGCTCATACCATAAAATTCATAACCATACCATTACTTTTTAAGGAATTACGAAATTGAAACCCCTGATTCCAAGAGAAGAAAAGTTCTACTGTAAAAGCCTTTCACGATCGAGTGATGTAAATATTTTTATTTATTCCGATATTTTAGACAATTCCTTGGTCTTTACATTAATTACATGGTAATAGATTTATGAACAGAATGCATCATAGTTTTTTTTGTGGGTGTTTAAAGAAAGGAACATTACAAGGTACTTGTAAGTTTCTAATTCAAAGTCAGAGAGTGTTTACCAAACTGTATGATAGCATTCCGTTTTCTGCTGGTATTTGTATATGTGTGTGTGTGTGTGTGTGTGAATATGGAACAATGTCTAATGAGTTGTAATAAATATCGTGTGTATATATTCCAATCCAAGACTAGGTGAATGCAGTCGACTGAAAAATATTCTTTTTTCTTTTTATATGATTGCTAAATCATCATTTATAGCATTTTTAGTTTGAAATTAAATCACGTTGCATCCGTACACTGTGATGTATTCATATCGCCAATTGAATGAATGCATTCTAATGTGTACCGGAAGAATTAAATTGGCCGAATCGTTTGAAACAGAATTGTACATCAGCAGAAAGCCAAAGCATTGCAATGAATTTTCACTCGGACAATTGTTAATGACTTACCCAATAGTAGTAATTTTGTAAATACTAGGTAAAAATGTTGTTTATATGGCATCGCAAGTAAATAAAAATGTTTCAATTTAGTTTGACTCATCGCTGTACACATTGTATATCATTAATCTGTATGTAATAGTATATTATATGTGTTGAGTCTCTTTGTATAAAAAAAAGATTCGATGCATTTATTTATTACATATAACTTTTATATGGTACTTTTCCGAGTTTGTTGTTAACTTTCTATACATTTCATCCGTAACGCATTACAGTGTTGTAGAGTTTTGTTATTGTGCCATATATTACGTAGTTATAATTTCATTCTCGCTGATAAGCGGAAAAAAAAAGTTCATCGTTATTTCTGTGTGTAGGAGATCGACACGACAAAGAATGATTTACAAAACCATTTATTTAGATTTAAATAATAAATGATTATCATAACAGGATATAATGATGTATAACTAGGTACATATACGCAATGACATGGACTATAATACAATGATCAAGACTCTATTGTACATATTTTATTATATTGCCACCGTTGCTAAAAGCACTGTAATGTCATCTGGCTTACCACCTGAAAAATACAAAACACACACTGTGAATACGCACGTATCTATCAATTCATTTAAGTAATCCTAGGACGATCAACTTTTCCATCGTTTTAGTCACCGATTAAGAATACACGAGGAAAGTTAAGATATCTCATTTTTTTTCTCTATCCATCTACATATTCCAAATCATCGTTTTTTTCTTTTCTTTTTCAGAAACTTGTTACAATATTAAATCGAACACGATGCACTCGCGTAAGCTGTTCGTGTTAGCCCGTAAGAACACTAAACAATATTTAAGGTACAGAGGGAGAACAAAGTTAACACAAAGTCACTACCAAAGCATAATAGTACATACGTAATATATAAGAAACTGTGCAATGTATCCTATAAATAAACTGTATATATATTTTTTATTGAAAATTACGTGTATTGTAAGTGTTCTTCTGCGGTACATAGAACATTTGGGTAACATGAATAGAACCACGTACCTATTGTGTCAATTCCATTCTCTCTAGCACTTTGGGCGAATGGAGACATGAACGCGCCGTCGAAAGCTAAACTACGTGCCATCCAAGCTATCGAATTCGCGACTCCTTGTATTTTCGTAGGATCTTTTTCGCCTTGCAGTTTACGCATCTCTGTGATAATTAGCTGATCAGGCACATTATCGAAAACTCCGTCGGTTGCCAGCAGAATTACATCGCCGTCTTCGACCCCGAAACTCGAAGTGTCCGCAGACTCTGGACTGAAACATAAACGAAGATACAGAATTGGTACATACACATATACAGGATTATCCAGTACGGGTAGTGCACAGTCGGAAAGGTTTTATTTTACATAGAAAAATAAGTCGAAAATGTGGAATAAAATTCTTTCCTATACAGCTTCATTTTCAAGATAATCCAATTTAGAAAATTCATCTATGTTGACAATAAGTAGAAACGTTAGGAAAGTCGATTATTTCGAAAACTAGGCATCGTGAGGGGAAACATTTTATTATAGATTTTCGACTCATTTCTGCCATGTAGAATAATCTCCTTCTCCAAGTGGATTATCCGTTTTGACCTAGCCTATATATTAAGGTACTCTAGATCTGTTTTGTACAGAAGCATCCACGAGTATTACACACGTACTGACACGTTCGCCGCCATTATTATTTCGCTGGCATGTCATCAGCAGCCTTGATACAGAAACACGTTTTATGTCGTTTACAATTAACAGCGTTTGACAACTGATACACCGTGTGTCTGCATTAATCGGACACGGCGGCTAACGTGCGAATTATTCTCAACGAGTGTCCGCGGTTGGTTTCGTTCGTACAAAATAAAGATACCTGTCGCTAAGTACCAGACCAGAATGTCCTGGAGGTGGAAGAGACAATTGAAACGGAGTATTAAAGTAGTGCTGTTGTTCGGAAGAACGATGAACTACTTCTCCTTTCCTCACAACTACAAAACCACTATCGCCGATATTAGCTGCGTAAATGCTGCTAGTCTCTTTGTTGAGGATTATCACGCACGCTGTGCTGCTACCTGGAAACAATGTATCCTAGTTATTACGGAAATCACAACCAAACCTTGTAAATCTTCTCTTTCACAAAAAACCATAGATCCCAAATATTACCTAGTATAGGTTGTTTATTTTCTAATAATTCATAGTAACTACGCGCTAGTAAACCAGCTGGCTCGGAGGGTGTAAATCTGCCCATGGAGACCAATCTTTCGCAGGTTCTCATAAGAAAACTGGAGAACTCTCCTGGGTCGATCCCGTAGTGCCTCCATCCTCCTACACCGTCTGCTACACCTATGGAATCGGAGAAACAATATTAAATACTTAGTGTACACATGCTTGAATCACAGCGGATCAATCGAATGAAACAAGAAAAATAGTACAGAAGTATTCAAATGTTACAGACACACAAATGGATTGTACGTATGTTACAGATATAAAGGAAGACTAAGGAGTATTAAAGTGTCAGTTGTGTGAATACACAGAGGACAATAGGTAACGAAGGAAGAATGTACCGAGTAGATATTGGAATGTGTGTGTGTGCGTACAAACACTGGAGAAGAATATCGAACGGTGAAACGATGTTACCTATTACTTCGACAGCCTTGAATTTGGCACTGAACCAAGCGTCGTCGCCGAACTGACCCTTCCGTACACGTCCACGCGAGAAGTCCTTCGGGAAACCACATACTGCCGAGATGAAGGATGCCTCGCGATGCTTGCTCACGTTAGGATCGGCGCACGTTGTGTAATTCGATATACCATTCCATAACGCTCGAGACAACAGCCTCCCGGTCCAATAAATGGACTGCATCGTACGGCGAGGCTCAGACACTCGTGTCGCACATCTTTAACAGCTAAACGACGTATCTGCATGAATCGTGCAGCGTCGATTCACGACGGTGTTCGAGGCATGGCTTTTTTCCCCCGTGTAGAGCCCGATCAGCGCGGATGGAAACGTCAATCGTCGTGTATCGAGACCTCGTTGTTTCGTTCCTGTGCACGCGATCAGCATCGACGACCGTGCACCCGTGTCCCGTAAAACGAGATACACGCTGCAAGAAACGTAGGATGCGTTGCGGCCGTGATTTCCCTAATGAAATTATCCGTCTGCTCGGATCCAATGCGAGAAAGTCGATCGAACCAGCGCTCCGTTTAACAGACCAACCTGAACCGTCTCCTCAATGTTGTTCATCGATGGTCAGAAATAAGCTGCCCGCTCTACTACAGATTGCACGGGAGAATCATCGTCCAGTGAAAATTGGGAGTTCCCTCTTGTAACCCTCGTGGTTAATGGTGCCTACAGAATTTCGAAATATGCGGAAAAACTGCGAGAATAAGAATCATACAGTCATCTGAACGGTATTAGATTGTCCCGTGTAAGCCATCTGAATCGACGGTGTAGATCAAGATTCGTTGGTGAATGTGTTTTTCATTGAACGTTAAGAATACGATACGGTATGCAAACTGAGAAATATTGGCCAATCATTGCCGTACTTTATAGGCGGACGGTTCAAATATATTAGACGTTAATTAAGAAATGAAAGGCAGGAGTGTGGTGTATTGGTGACGAATTATTTATTGAAGACACTTACAGTGGTATTATATAATGATACATGCTGTTTGTCACGTTCTCCGTTAGTAGTTAACTTGTTAATGAAGTGAGCTTCAAATGATCATTCAATTTAACATTTATACAGAAGGTCCTTCTTCTACGTCACTTTTTCCCCTAGCGGAAGCCGAGGTTGCTAGTGAGGGTCACTGGACCCCGTCAAGCACACCTCGTTTACTTCATATTTGGACAGGTCTCACGGCGTTATATGGACAGCATTCGTCTTGACCAAGCACTCGACGTGTAGCTTAAAGAACGTAGATTAATCTCCTTTCATTAGCAACAACAATAAATGACCAGAACACTGTTAAAATCGCATTTAATCGCGGAGTACCACTATTTTTTTGAATGGTGGCGCCACCCGTGTCAATTCTCTCAAACTGCTAGCGAGATCATACCGACAGGTGAGTGAAAATTTCTAATGATAGAAAAATGCAAATATCTCAGTAATTAGGCGCTGAAAATGAACGCTGTTAATCTCATAGTATTCCTGAGGACTTACTGCATCGACCCAATACTACAGAACCTCAGAATTAGTAAAATTATTTATGTCTATATTAACGGTGGCTCTTATGGAGAGGCAACCCAAATAGCAACTGCTTTCGATTACATTTACACCGCTCAGCGGTCATCATTTTTCTTCGTCACGCATTACATTCGAAGTTTAAAGAACGTACATTAGTACTTTCTAGCGGTTGGGAACCAGTAATAGCTAGAACATTGTTAAAGTCACATTTATTTGCAACTGTTGGCAATGTATCTCGTCATGCGTACCCCGGTAAGTTCTCTTTGGAATACTCTTCCAACGTTATGCTGACAGCTCTCGTCTTGTCCAAGCATTCAGTTTGAAGCTGCTGGAACGTAGATTAATCCCCTGTCATTGATAATAACAATAAACAATCAGAACACTGTTAAAATCGTATTTAATTGCGGAATACCACTATTTTTTCGACCGGTGGCGCCATCCGTGGCGAATCGCTGAAACTGCTAGCCATATAATTGGTTAACAGTTTCACCGATTCGCCACTACTACAGATCCACTGCGGGCCGCGGCCCTCTGCACCGTGCAGACTGCACGACGACCAACGTCGACTCGCATTCGACCTCCCTCGATATCCCTAAGATGGCGGAGATTAAGGCGCGCACGCATTGTCGCCCGCTACAACCACGCACAACATTCGAAGTTTCGCGGATTGTGCCTTACAGTTTATATAGTTTGTAAATAAGCAATACAAAAAAATGAAACGTTTAACCGAAGAGAAAACGAAACTCGTCTTAGAAAAATTAACAAAATAGTAAGTGTAATCTTTACATTGAGTTACATCGCAGTTAACTTACTGTACATTTTTCTGTTGTTTTTAGAAATCTCGTGATTATCTCTGTTTATCTATGTATATTTATTTTTTAGTATTGGGGATAATGTAAAAGTATTGATAGATAGACCAGATGGTATTTATTGCTTTCGAGAAAGGAAAGGCAGGGTCTATTACGTATCCGAGAAAATTCTACCGTATGCAAGTCAGGTTAACCCTGATCGATTAGCAAGCTTTGGAACATGCTTCGGAAAGTTTACAAAGTCTGGAAAATTTAGGCTACATATTACTGCATTGTATCATCTAGCTCCATATGCACAAGTAATTATTATATTAGCATGTTTCTTTTAAATCTTATAAAAATTTATAGTCTGCTCTGAATATAATAATAAATATTTGAATTCGGTTTAGCATAAAATCTGGCTCAAATCATCCGCTGAGCAACAATTTTTATACGGACATAACATTTCCAAGTCCGGTTTAAGTAGAATAACAGACAATACACCTCAATATCAAGGTGTTGTTATATTCTCAACAAATGACATACCATTGGTAAATAAAATATTGATATTGCCTAATACCTTTATGTCATAAAAAAGGAATTATTAATTTTATTCAAACAAATTATAATTTTCATTTTGTTATAGGGTTTCGGTGTAACTGCAAAAAGTACAATGGACTGCAAGTATGCAGACCCAATGGCGATAGTGTGTTTCCATCAAGCTGACATAGGAGAGTACATTCGATCAGAAGATTCTTTAATTTAGTAACACTGTAAATTATACTGGTTAAGTTTTAGGATACTACTAATGCGTGACGAAGATATATGATGACCGTTGAGCGGTGTAAATGTAATCGAAATCAGTTGCTATTTGGGTTGCCTCTTCATAAGAGCCACCGTTAATACAGGCATGAATAATTTGACTAATTCTGAGGTTCTGTAGTATTGCGTCGATGCATTAAGTCCTCATGAATACTATGAGATTAACAGCGTTCATTTTCAGCGCCTAATTACTGAGATATTCGCATTTTTCTATCATTAGAAATTTTCACTCACCTGTCGGTATGATTTCGCTAGCAGTTTGAGCGAATTGCCACGGGTGGCGCCACCGTTTAAAAAAATAGTGGTACTCCGCGATTAAATGCGATTTTAACAGTGTTCTGGTCATTTATTGTTGTTGCCAATGAAAGGAGATTAATCTACGTTCTTTAAGCTACACGTGGAGTGCTTGGTCAAGACGAATGCTGTCCATATAACGCCGTGAGACCTGTCCAAATATGAAGTAAACGAGGAGTGCTTGACGGGTCCAGTGACCCTCACGAACAACCTCTGGTTTCATTAGGGGAAAAAGCGACGTAGGAGAAGGGCCTCCTACCACTTGGTAAATTTATATCAAGTACTGAAAGATTCGTCAAACCGTGCTATTTTTAACCGATTATTAATGAAAATAGTAACGAAATATAAATTACTTTTACGTTTAGTCGCGTTTTCGTGATAATCAAGGAGCATATCGAGTCGAAAAGTAAGCGCCAGTTCATTTTCATCGTTGACACGCAGTTTGAAATTTGTCGCGTTATCGTCAGCGCACCGTTTCTGAACACGGAAAAAAAAAACTTAAGAATGGGATGTTCCGGGGACATCAGGGCAATCAGGCAGCAATCTAAACGCTATATCTTTGAGTAAATCGCTTTACTAATGTTTATTAATAAACATTTCATATAGATTACTTTTAATTCATTATAATTTAATACCTGTCTGCTGTTGTTGTTTTCTCATGGTTGTTTTTTGTATTTTCTTTACTTTTTTTTTTCTTTTTCTTTGGTTGTTTCGTTTTTGCTCTCTTGCCGTTACGCGATCAATAAGTTTATCCGTTATATTTACACTATTCAGTATAAAATGCGAGTTCAAGATTAAATCACACCACTATGTTTTATGGACACTATCTGTCATCGATTAATTTAATTATCAATGCTTGTACTCGGGAAAATGCGTAGGGGGCAGTAGGGCAGTATTCTCGTTATCACTAGTGTTGTTGGTATTTAATTCTTTAGGGGAACCATTATTTATGTTACAATCTAGACTAAATGTATCGTCTAGTGGGCGTTTGTTAATATTAGGCAAGTGATTAACATCGATTCCACGAACGTCGGGGAGGAGCGTTTGTTGTTGATGGGATTGAGCATTTTCAGTCTCGTCGTTCTCGAGACCATTGTTGTCGGTAGTATGGGGTGGGGATGGATAATAGCCGCGCTGCTGTATTGGCAGTTGTTGTTCCACCGGCAGTTGGTGTTGTTCTTCTCCTTCTTCTTCGTCTTGTTCCGGCTGGTGCTGCCGCTGCGGTTGTTGTTGTTGATTTTGATGCTGTTGCTGCTGCGGCTGCAACGGCTGAACGTGATGGTGGTGGTGGTGGTGGCGATGATGTTGCTGCGACTGTAGATGGTGCTCGCATTGACAGTGACGCTGGTGTTGCTGCAACAATTGCATCGAACCACCGGCCATCGCTGGTGGCGGCAGTGGTGGCGGCGGCGGTGGCGGCTGCTGCGGTGGCCGGTGCTGGACCCCGTCCTCACTAGTCCATCGGACTAGTTGTTGTTGAGCTTGAATAAATGCATCACTAGAAAATAACAAGATTACACGAGCCCATTGGATCTATTCCACGACCACTAATGCTGCGATACGCACGCACGCACGCGCGCGCGCGACTGGGCCGCGGAACAAACGGCTATCAATCGTCTCTCCGGCAAGCACCTAATCAACAGTCTCTCGGTCACTTACCTCGTGAACGGCCGTGTCACAAAATACGTACATTCACACTCTATTTATACGGGACACAATCCTCTCTGGACGGTGTACAGGGTGAGGGGTAAGGAAAAGGTATAAACATCATTTCAATACCGAGTTCAGAGCTCAGTGCTTTTAATCCGATAGCCTTTATTCGTGTCTGAGGGCTGTATTCAGGGTTGCCAGGTGTACGGCAAATATGGCCTATTTGGAGTAGTGGGGGGAGAAGACACTACAGTAAATCATCGATGACTGTTCGAAGGTTCCTGAGTACTGAGTGTTCAAACGTCATCCCCAACACTGGGGAGGGGGGGGGGGGGGTTCTTGTGAAACAATCTTGTGCCCAGTGGTGGAGATAACGTTTGAACACTCAGTACTCAGGAGCCTTCGAACAGTCATCGATAATTTACTGTACAGTAATCGTCGCATGGTGTGCAGAAGTCGTATTAGTATTATGATGTCACACGGCCTTTATTCTGAAGCGTTTGCCTGGCAACCTTGAGTCTGACGGCGTGTGTCTCCCGGAAGAGGACTATAACAACCCCTGTACACTTGGACAGGACTGGTTCTGTTCGGACCACCCGAAGTGGAACCTGTCTCTGCGTATATCCCACTTGGGTATGCGACACACGTGTATGTACTTGGTCGCACAGAAGGTATGTTTACGCTTTAAATGGGGAATAGTTTGGTGCACAGGTTATCCCGAAATTATTGGACAAGCTGCAACATGCAGATTCATCGTGCAAATATAAATCAAAAAGTCCTTTACCGTTTTGTAATCTGAAGCCTCAGTTCCGAGATATTAGCAGTGAAACGAACTCCAATCAGCTGAGCGGTCGGCCACACCTACGCGTAGACGCTCAGCTGATTGGAGTACGTTCAACCGCTAATATTTCGGAACTGAGGCTTCAGATTACAAAACGGTAAAGGACTTTTCGATTTGTATTTGCACGAGGAATACGCATGTGTTGCGATTTGTCCCATAATTTTGGGAGACTTGTGTATCCCGTTGTTCGTATGGTGGACACTGCACGTACACGTGGACGCGTCACGTACTTACACGGAAAGCCTTCTAGCGATTGCGGGCGCGTGCGAAGCCTACAGCGTAAGTTCGAGTACGATCGTCGCGGTCTGCGCGACGAACCGTAGGAACGAAAAGCTTCAGATAAGGATAAGTGCGGTATATCCCCGATTCTGATCCCTTTTTTCACGTAACCGCCTCCCGTATGCCGTTCAGACTACATTTCCCACGGTTAAAGAGCAAACTCGATCGCGGAATCCCGAATGGGGACTTGGCCTAGCCAACATTCACAGCGCGCGGCAGCAGAGAAAGAGAAGCAGGCTAGAACAACAATGAGAGGACAACATGCGAAAGTTTATTTTTTTCTTGCTGGTGTGACCTCGATCACGTGGAAACTCGGAACGAGACGAGAATCCATTCCACTCGATCGTTCGAACGCGACAGAGGGCGCGTATAGTAGTATGCCGAGTCTATTTATACTCCGTTCGCGGTTTTCCTTCAGAATATGGGCGGTAGACGTTCCTCGATATAGAGCCCCGTGGTTTGGGGTTGAGATGTGACGCGCTGGGGCATGCACCGATCCTTATCTGAATGGGCGTTCACTGTAGTGGTGGGAATCGGTAGTAGGGAGCAACGTTGGCTCCTTTGAGATCTAAAAACTTCCTTCCTAAATTTCAAGCAGTAATATTTCTCAGAATGTCGACGAGTATCCGCTTGGAAACCAAGAACTTAGTGTCTATCCCAAAGACGTCATCGCTTTTGCTCCCTACTGGACACGCGGTCGCGTGGCCAGACGCCTTCGAATAGGTGGAAAAACGTGGAATCATGATCGACCACGGATCTATACGTCATCCAACGAGTCAGTGATTATAAACAAAAGGGATGTGATGACCATTTAGGTAGGACCAGCCAATAGCAGGGGCTAGTATCCCATAGGGGGTTACCATAACCAATAACTGGACCTAGCATACGAATATTTTCGTTATTATTACTGTTTCGAATCGTTGGACAGGGCCATACTGAACGTGTTATGAGTTTCGATTCCCAACACTAATAGCCCGAGGACTGGTGGGTTCTTGCTAGGAGACTTGCGCACAAAAGGAGATCTCTAACGGTCACGTGGGATTGACTAGAAGGGGGTGAGGGTACTGAGAATGAATGTTCTCTTTATCTAAGGGTCAAGCCCGAATGTTTTTTTTTACTGATAGAATCTGCGATACCTTTCACTATCGGGTCGGTTCACCCTGTCATGGTCGGCAGTTTCATAGATAACGTCCTCTTGGGTGCCGTACGGATTTAGAGACGATGGCTGACGGCATCGACAGTAGGCGTCGTCGCGGGTGCGGCTACACCTTCTGCTTCTACGTGGAGGGGGAGGGAAATTCGAATCAGCCGCATGTAAGGTTAAACGAGCTTGGAACAATGCTTTCGACACAGCGAACCATCCCGTAATTATCGAGTCGATCCGATCGCGCCCCTATACGCAGGAATTCGATAGAGACACACGGTATAAACAGACTCCGCATCATCGATGTCATGCAAGTGTCAGCCTGACGATATTATTCGCAGCGAGCCCCCGTGTATGTTCCTCGCTACTTCTTAAACGCTACTTTGTACCCGGACACGTGTTAAATAGCACAATATCGACTCGTTCCGTGATGTTCTGATAGTGGATCTAACGCAGAACTGCGCAATTGATTGCTCACGAGCAGCAGTGACTCGAGCTTGCCCTCTTGGGTTACCCCCACTATGGTCCTCTGGTTGATAGAAACACTATTGGTCGAGACACCGAGGACCACAGTGGGGGTAACCTGGGAGAGAAAGTTCGAACCACTGATCTAACGTTTTTCATTTTATTTCAGGTGAACAATTGTGGTTTGTGGATTCCTAGATGCGCTCTACGAGGCGGTACCGTGGCTATACACGTGTTCGGGGAAGCGGAAGATAGAAAAAAGATACTGGCCAGAATGTGACAAAAGGAAAGCAACGGCGCATCACGGTAACAGTAGAAATGTAATTAGGCCACGGATGTTATGCATATCTGTACGGTGAAGACTTTCAACAGGAGATGGGTCATGATAAATTCAATTTTAGATGTCAAACATCCGCGGTCTAGTAAGAACAATGTGAGTTGCGGCCAGCGAGTGGTGAGAAATTGGTCGAATGGAATCGCGTAAGGACAGCCTTCGACTGTAGCGATGGGTCCGCAAGTGGTTCAAACATGTTTGCACTTCCGATGAGTAGTTCCAACAGGTCCAAACATTTCAACCTACTCGAGTTGACCACCGATCTGAACTGTTTTAAAGTTTCCACCGTCTGAAATGTTTTGGACCCAGACTTTCAGTTTAATCGGATCGTCACGTTTGGCTTATGTCTGGCCCCAATGTTTCGCTCCATGTTGGGAGTATGTTTGTCCCTTTTCGAGCTATGGTAGGGCCCCTCTGAACTATGTTTTGTGCTGTTGGGACTACGTCGAGGCCTGTTTGAACTATGTTAGGGTTTATTTGAACTATGTCAGGGCCTGTTTGAGCTATGTTAGGGCCTTCTGAGTTATATTTGGGCCCTATAGAGGTGCAAACGCATTCGAGCCTGTATAGTCCTGGGCCCATCCCCATCGCCGAGTATTCTGTCCGTTCCCCACCGCGACTATACTGTTCCAGAGCAGCGGTTGACTGCGAGGTGTTTCGTAGTCGCAGACCGTGGTTCCCTCGAATAACCCCGAATCATCGTAAAAGAAGAGGATTCGTATACAAGTTCAGCCCGCGATTCAAGCAAAATACCAGGCCGTACGAGACGACGTAGAAGCGACGAGGACGTATAGAATAAAGAGAAAAGAAATCGTGTAAGCATGGCTAGAAGAGTACGAAGCTTGGATCGTTTCGTTCGTCGGTTTCTTACCCTTGCGAGGACTCGCTACAAACGGACGAATCTTTACGGTAGGCGAGACGGTCCGCCTCGCTCTCCGATATCCGTATCTCCTCGGAGCCGCACGGGCTCATTTGTCGGGCGGAGTGACGCTCCAACTGTTTTATCAGATCCTCGAGATTACGGATCCGTAACACGTTGCCGGTCCTCTTCTCCTCCTCCTCGTCGTCGCCCTGGTTGTCGCTGTGGTCCTGACCGTCCATGTCCTTGTGGCAGGCGTTCGGGTAGCTGCAGTCGGTCATCGTTTTCGGCGAGGCCTCGTCGTTCACCAGATAATCCACGCCACCCGGTGTGCTGGACAGCTCGCGTAACGTATGCGCCTGCCGTAACGCCTCTATGATGTTCTCGTGGTAGCCGTTCAGATGGTCCAGCGTGTGCTCCACGGAACGCCCGTTCACGACGGTGCCGCTGTCTGTATTCGCATAATTGTAGATCACTCGGTATATTTTCGCTTCGGTATTTACATTCGGACAGACACAGAGGGGTCTCGATGTGACAGCCTCGATACAGGGCGAGTCAATATCTCATGGACATCTGAGGAAATATACAGGGTGAGTCAATAAGAACTACTATCTGAAATAACTCATTAACTATTGATTGTACGGGGAAAGGTTTTAATGAATTATTAATTTGATTTCTTTTAGGATGTCAAGGTGACCTTGATGTTTTTGCTGTCCTTTTTTGTAGGATGAAAACGATGAATTTAGCGACTTATAACAAAGTGACCTTGAAGCGACCTTTGCGCAGTTTATTGACTCACCCTGTAGACAAGAGCTAATTATATAATTCAGGTCGAAGCTCGAGAACCGAGAGACTGTATTGGGTCCGAGGCTGTAACATCGTTCCTTCGTAGACCCCATTGGTCTACGTCTACGTGTACGTACAACATAGCAGCCGTTACAGTACCGTAAACATGGTGTTTCTTTAATATACTCTTCTCGGGCATCAGTTTGTTTTGCGGCATGTCAATGAACGAGACAGCCTCTTCACCGCCCGCGCCGCCTTCCTCCTCGAGCCTTCTCACCTGCGACTTGTGATCCCTGGAAGTGGTCATGCAGAGGAACAATTGGTCTCGCGTCACCTTGTAGGTCGTGATGCTTAGTTCGACGTTCGCTGGTACCATGAGATCGCTACCATAGTTTTGTCGATTATTTCTAGGTGGTTGGAAGTCAATGTGCTCGATATTTAGGGTCAGTCGAATAGATTCTATTGACCCGTAATGTAAGTCCACAACGAAATGGATTTACTGTCGTAAGTCTAGCTATGAATTTTTCATTTTTCCGGAGACGTTGCTGCGGATTGAAGTTCCGTTCTCACAACGTAATGGAAAAAGGGACTCAATGGGACTAATGCTTCTCTTTTTTCAGATGGTTTTAGATGGAATCTATTCAGTTGATTGTAGAATCCCGATTCCCCAGCGAACGTCAACACACACGTTTCTCATTTCTCTTCTCTATAAGGGAACACGTCCCCCCTGTGGCAAGTGCTGCCGTAGCACTCGCCGAGAGCCTTTCTTCTTCGGTCACAGTCACGTGTCAACGTCCCTCGCGTTCATGGCCGAAGCGTTAGCTTTGGGAGATTTTCTTGAAAGAAAAATTGTTAAAGGCAAATGAAAGTTTCACACTTGCTTCCGAACAAAACTTACGACCGGGATCGAACGTTGGACATAACGTAGACGATAACGTGGGGGACGTTGGTCGTGTAATCTACAGGGTGTTTCAGAAATCGTCGATCGTAGTTGAAGCATGCGTGACCAAAGAAAATGTCTGCGTTTCAGGGAAGAGGATGAAGATCCTTCCTCCATTCTCAACCAGAACATTTTCTGCAAGACCTCCGGTTTCTGAGTCATCCTGTACATTTCATTAAGTTGTTGCACATGGAACGATCGACTACACCAGAGTTGGACATAATTTTATGCGAATAATACATAGTGAAAAGTAGTAGTATCCATTCTGACCTTTAGACAAGTTTGCCAAGTATTTGAGGGAAGTTGGGGAAATTTGATGCAATAGGGCACAATGAAACATCAATAGTATCTTCATATCCATAAACATTTAAAAGTTCAAAACAGGACCACTGGATACCATATAAATGATTTTATATTGTGGTGACGTTTTGAATTTTTTAGTGTCTGTGAATATCGAGAAACTATTGGTGTTTCGTTGTGCCCTGTTGCATCAAAATGCCCCAACTACCCCTACTCACTGAAGAATATTATTTTATTATAAAAATTGGAATTTCTACGTTTTTGCCCATCTATACTGATCAGCAAGGTTGCCAGGAGTAGGGCCTTCGAAGACCATATGACATAATAGGGAGTAGTGAAGGGAGAATATACCATAACAATCCTCGTATGGTGTTCACGAGTCGTATCAGTTCTGACTATTAATACCACTGACTATTTAATACCATTCAAATTACGTACAAAATATTTTTTTCAATTTTACAATTAAAAAATATATTCAGGGGGTCATACTTAAACGAAACACCCTTGTATAGCTCTAAAACGTACTGTGACGTCACGTGGCCTTTGTTCTTATGCTTTCGCCTGGCAACTTGCTGACGTCGTATTCAAGATGGCCGTCTGGGGACGAAGTGACGTATAGGTAGTAACGGAGGGGGTATGCTTGTGTTGGGGACCGATGCCTTTCCTTTGTCTAGTACCTGTAGTACCAGCATGGTGTGGACATGCTCAGTGTATACAGCTCTGTGCGACGTCACCTTGTCTGTACGCGGCAGGGAAAATTCTCCTGGCAACGCTGCTCGTATGTACTTCGTGTGTGCAACAACCTAACCTAAATATCGTACGTTCGTCGATTCGGTTCAGCGAGTGCAACTAACAAGCGGATAGCGTTTCGGGGTACGGGTGTGCGATGAGCTTTCCTCTTTTGTAACGGTCCATGCAAGGAGCGTGACGTATTTCGTGCGTGTGGTGGATTGGATGATTGTGCGCTGCGTTTGAAAGAAAAAAAATCATGCGGTGCCTGGGTGAGAGTACCAAGAAGCGACACTAGACATGCACTTTATTTTGTTTCTACTTGGTGTCGTAACAGTGTGTGTGCGCCTCTGTGTGTATTTGTCGTTGGGAACGTGATACTGTGCGATGCTCGTGTGATATACGCAAACACAAAGAACAAAGGAACGAGCAACTACTCGGTAATCTTGTTAAAGGTAATTCATATGTGACATTGTGTTTAACTCACTGAATTGATATGATTGATTTATATGAAAAGTAACTCGAGGAAATATTTCGTTACTTAACCTAAAAACAATAACGCGAAAAAAAGTGACTCGTGGCACCTCGGTCCAAATATATATCGTGTAGTTTTAAAAGATCGTCGTTTAGATGTTAGTTTTCCAAAGCTAGAAGCTTCAATTTATTTTTTAATAATCGACGTGTCTGGGCTTCGGGGAAAATAAGAAAAACGGCAACGAAAGGTGACTACGGATGTCACTGCCCACCGTAGATCGTGTTTTTTTTTTTATCACAGTTGTGGGCGTAAATAAATAGAAAATACAAAAATAATAGGTGTTATAAATTGTTCATATTTAATGCGTGTGAGTGTGCTGCGATTCCTCGACAGGGCCATTTCCTTTTGGACCCTCGGGGTCGAGTGAAACGAGGCCAGGACTCGTGGTCTGTGCTCGGTGGACGATACAGCTTGGTTGTGAAGTAGACCTTCGATAAGTGTACACAACTAGACCCACTGTAGACTATATACAGGCTTTCTCAAATATGGTGGAATATCATTAGGGGTGATAGAGAAGTTTAAGATACTCGAAATGGCCCTCCACTTTCTGGAATACCCAAATAATTCAAACCAGTGATCTATTTAAAAAATCTTTGCTCTATTCGAACCGCCCTACCACCTTACCACAACCCACTTAATACTTCCTGTATTTTATTAGCCATTGAGGCTGAATTGGGCCATCAGAATATTAAGTTTAAAGGTAGAAATCGCCAGAACAGTCAGAATTTATAATTAACATTGACCTAATATTGCGAAATATGAGATTTTGTGCTTTTCAGATGGTTTAAAAAATAAACAAACGAAGGTTATGGGGATAAAAAGCCAACAGGGTCTGTCTGGACACAGACCGCAGTTTAATTAGAAAAAGTTTCAATAAAATTTGAGACCACCAATTTTGGTACAAACTGTATAACTTCCATCGAGCACAGAATCCGACACTGACCATGGCTCGTTCGTTCTGTAACGTGTATCGAGTCAGAGATTCGTCGATCAACACTATGGTGACATAACGGCGGGACACATGAAACTTACTTGAGTCTTGGCCCGTCTGTGGTGGCGACGTTATTCGGGGCTTGAAACAGCACGCGCTGGGTGTCGTTGCGGCTAGAAATATACTAATGTAGGCATGCCGCGGGTATTCCACGATACGTTGTCGAGACCTTTGCGGCCCGATCCCATCGAGATCCAAGGGACCAAGTCAATCGTTTGGGGATCGGTGACCAGAAAGGGCTCGATGGCTGTCCTAGAAGGTTTTGCGCTCGTTTCGAGAAGCAGTGGACGAGGCGTCTTCCCTTTGATCTATCGACAGATGGAATCCACGATACCCATTTCTATGGTAAGCACATGGTCTCTGGAATCGCAATAGGGGATATTCCTTTGCCAGGAGGACGCCTCGTCGACCCTATCCGGGGACACAGCGGGCGTAACCGTTTTTTTCTGTGATGCGCTTCTGTTAATCTCGACTCGTAATGGCTCTGGGTGGTTATGTCGAACATGGGCATACAGGATGTACCAAAAAGATAAGTATCCCAGATTAACCCGGAAGCATGAAAGTTTTAGCAATAAATGTTCGATACAAAAGTCTTAGGGTCTGATAAGATGCATATGATGATTACTTTGATCGTGATATAGGGGTCAAATTTAGAGACCATTTTAAGATCAATTCGATTTTTTAAGATGGGAACCCTCTACTTTTAGCACCAGAAATGGAAAACACTGAACATTATACGTTCAGATATGTGGTCACGTTCTTGGATCTAAATGACCCTTCTTTCCATTACTGGTGCTAAAAATACGGGGTTCCCATTTAAAAAAAAATAAATTGACCTTGGAATGACCTCCACATTTGATCTCTATGCCACGATCAAGGTCATCATTAGATTTCTCTTTCTAAACTCTAAAACTCTTGTATCAAACCATTGTTTTTGCTAAAATTTCATCCTTTCGAGTTAATCTGGCGTACTCATTTATTTGGTACACCCTATGTGTGTACGATGTCGTATGGGATGGCCGTGTGACGTGAATTTGTGTGGGTATACGCAGAACATTAAAAACGGAGAAAACCAATAGATAAGTAAAAGCGATATGTGTATGTGTGTGTGTGTGTCTTTTGGTGATCGTTGATGGATCCTTTACTTGTTCTCTCAACGCTAGTCTGTAGCAGGGGTCTGTCCGTGGGTCTCTGCCCTCTGGGAAGCATGTCGTGTGTATATGTGTGTATTCAATTGTGTATGGAAAAAACACTCGTCCCATCTCCGACAGACCCTCCAGAGAGGGTTAAGAGGAATATAACTCAGGGGGTAGTCTACGAGTATCTGCTCCGTTATGGATCTATAGCGATCGCGCGGCTTAGAGAGTCACGGTTCTAGATCGGTTGGCGGGGTCTCCGATCGAATGGGCGACACAGTAAATCTTCGATGAGTGTTCGAAGGCACTGAGTGTTTAGATGTCATCCCCATCACTGGGGGGCTTCGAACATTCATCGATGGTTTACTGTAATACACTAGGTGTGTGTGTAGCGCCGAATCAAAGGGGGGGGGGAATATAAGCCTTCCATTTCGTTATGATTAAATATTATTTAATTCTGTTTAGAATGAATTTCAATTTTTGAAGATTTATGTATTTTATTGTATGTTTTATTACAAACATTTGCCCCCCCCCCCCAATCAAGAGGACCCTAGAAGGTTTAATAGCCCTGGGCCCCGAAAATCTTAATCTGGCCTTGTGTATATGTGTGTGCGTGTCGTTTTGTTTCGCAGTGTGTGATCCAACGTACCCGTAGTTGAAGTTGAGAATTCTGCTGTGTATGTTGTCCAGAACCGCGTGCTCCGGATGTTGGTCCTTCGAGACGCTTGTGTAGTTCTTCTGAGGCGGCTTCTTCGCGTACGGTTGCTCGTATTTCTGGACGGTGCTCTTCCTTCTGCGAGAAAATCGCAGATTATGTGGCTGCCGATCGTCTGGTCGCGGGCGACACCAGAGAAAAAAGTCACACACAGTTTAAGAAGCGCATGCAGACTACGGGCTGGGGGAAATTCTTCGTTCCTTTTAGCGTGAAAAATCTTTTTTTTTTTTTTTTTTTTTTTTTTTTACAGTTTTATTATACAATATCCAATGATATTTCACTTAATATACTTCGATAATTCACTTCGACTCGCGTATACTGTCTACGAGTCCTTTGAGAAATCATAAGTATATAACGTGTGCGGTAAACTCTACTGTATAAATAAGCGCCAGTATGTTCGGTTCAAGCTTCTGATTCGTTTGAAATAATCGTTGGTCAGTTGTTTCATTTTCTAGGTTATGGTACTACTTTGAGTAACAGAATATCCTCAGAGTTCGCCAGAAGGAATCGAACATTCTGTTTAGCATGTCACTCGAATGGTTGCATCGAATGAGTCTGATCTAGCGAAGCTGGCCGCCTCTACGTTTAGGAGTCATGGGTGAGGGGTGGCAGGGAGGAGGGAGGGGAGCATGGGTAAGAACGGAAACAGATAACCAGTCGAACGGTGCGCCCGCAACTGGCCTTACAGCCGCCCTGTGGGATCGCCTTCCGTTGCAGTGGTCCATCGAACCGAATACTCAAAACTAAACGTGTGGCCTCTTAACGAGTCGAGCGAACAGCGCTCCTATACCGTTCCACGGTTGACGACCGGGGTGGTGGGCGGGCAGTCTATTACCCCCTCTTTCGCGATTTCCTCGCCCAACGGAAGGGGAAGCCTACTCCCTTCCAACGGACGGACCACAGTGTCCTCAACTATACACCTGCGTGAGTGATCGTTGCCTGTAGGGTGAATCACGCATAGACGTGAAAATTATCAGGTAATAAATATTTCTTTGAAGAAAGGCTTGACACCTTTGTCGGAACTGATACGAATAAATTGGTTAAACGAGATTTTTGAACTCTCGGATCATAACCCATCGGAACATCGCCGTGTGTTGAAATATAGACCAGCAAGGTTATTTCTTATTTTCCTTGTTTTATCTGTGTGTTACATTCGACCAATTATTAACCCTCTAATAATAAGGCCCGGGTCGAATTCGATCCAAGTTATAGTTCTACTTGTGCTGTGCCCGTCTCTATTTTTGTGTACTGTCTTTTTTATTCTCGTTTTAAAATTATTATTATTCAGCAAACTTTCATGCGCATATTATCATATAACCCTATTATAATCCCTTTTTTTTCCCCGTCTGAAAATAGCAAAGAAGTGCTCGGGGCGAATCCGACCTCACCTTACCAAGTACCTTACCTTAAAGCCCACCTTACCATTCGAGGGTTAACATAGTCTTGAGCGTTTCAATGCTCAGTTGTATTTCCTTGAAGGAAAAAATAACGCGAAAGATTTCGTTTACTAATAACTGGCACATCTGTTGTGTAGTCTTTGAACGAACGAAGAGTGTACAGTTGGCTCTTCCTTCTTGTCCGCCTGTCACGTGACTGACGCAGACGAGAAGTGGTGGGGGATGATGGCCCTCTATCGGCTAATTGTACACTAATGTGATCAGCGAGGTTAGATCGCGTCGTTTACAACCACAGCGTTTGTTCTCTTTTTCTGAAAAATTAGATTCACCCTGCCACAACCGTCGAATGAAAATAAAATCAACGACAATTTAATGGCCACCGGAGAAAAAAGGGAAGCTTTTCTGTAGGCATATTATCTGCGTAAGCGATCGAGGCGCACACTCTCTCAGTCTCACTCTCCATGTATTGCCGGGCGTATTGCTGAAGCTGCTGGGCGTATATAATATATGTAATATAATAGTCGATATCTCGTCGTGTGGATCGAGCTCTCGGTTGGGCTGTATCGTTGCGACGACGTATCGATTAAACGTGTGATCCCGGCGCGCGTTGCGATGATGCTTTCAAGCCATTGTCCGTTGCGAAATCATTGCAGTGGCGTGTTTCGTTCTTTCTTTTCGATCCGGTGGACCGATACACACACGGTGATGAAACGAAAAGATAAACAAAAAATTAAAAAATACCAAAAAAAAAAAAATAAAGACACAACAGAGAAGGTAGAGAAGATACATGTATACATATATATATATCGATGTTACGAGAATGAACGAAAAGAAATGAAACGGAAACAGACGAAGAAGACGAAGAGTAAGCGAAAAACTAGAAAGACAGTAAAACAGTTACGGACTCTAAAGTTATACATGTAGATATATATGCACGTGTGTTCCGCTCGCTTTATGTCCTCGTCGACGTCCAACGAGCCTGTTTATAATTTTTTTTTTTTCGCTATATACCGACCTGTGCATATATATGTATATATATACTTGTATATATATATTGATATAGATATATAGATAGATACGCATACAAAAAAGTTTCTACGTGTATGTTTCTGCACACTAACCTGAGACAGAGGGAGTAGTTTTTATGTACTACGACTGACCTGTAGCAGAGAGCCATCAGAGCAAATACTACGAAAACACCCCCTACCACCGACATGAGCATAACAACTAAAAATACAGTGTTAGAGCCGTGGTAGTTCTCTGTGACGGTCGGACGCACATTGTGTCGGCGTCACCCAACGGTATCAATGATCGTCGTGTTCACATCGGCGACGACGCGAGAGATTTTCGGTTTTTTTTTCGAAGTGGTATTTATATTGCGACATTGTTTAGGTAATATATATATTTTTTTTCGAATCCGAGCGTCCCACAGCATGCAGACAGACAGAGATGCCAGTGACAGACAGAAACAGACAAGAAACAGAGAAGCCAGAATCAGCACATATACATATACATCGACGATGGGGACAGGGATAGGCAGAATGTCCCTTTCCTATTGCTTTAACACTTTCTCGCTGTTATTCTTATTACAGTCATTAAATCCTTCAGAAGGTTTTTTTATTGTGTGTGGACACACATTATTACTCAAAGAAAATTGTATAAAACACGTTACTTGTATTTAGATGGTGGATGCCACCGAAATTTATATTTCAGTACTGATGTTGGACCATTCAGGGACTCATGAGATATGTATTACACGTTAATATTCGTTAATTCGTTCAAAAGACAGAACATGTGTATATTTGAACAAGAAGTACAGTAGATTATCGATAAGTGTTCGAAGGTTTCTCGGCACTACGTGTTCAGACGTTATCAGTGGCGTCTGAACACTCAGTGACGAGGAGTCTTTGAACACTCATCGATGATTTACTTTACAATCTGTGACATCCATTTAGTCCAATAACATTCTGACCTGAGAAATCGTCTGATTTTTAGGTTATACACTTTCCTTTCCAGATGACAATTTTGCCCATCCCTGGACGCTGATCGTTGTTGAGATGATGCACGCTCAACGACTCAACTGACAAGTCTGATCGAAATGTCCCTAGACCTCCGTCAACCTTCAGATTTGAGGTTAGAGTAATTGTTTTTACTACTACCATTAGTCTACAATAAAAAAATTAACAAGGAACGTTTTTCGGAGTTCTAACTCGTCGAGGCGCAGCCCAGTCGTAGAGCGTGAATCATTCTTCTTTTCCAGTTTATTTTCGTGTATTCACGGAAGCCCTAGATCAGGCCGAGGGGACCGAGTACAGCCCGTCGGGTGACTCGTCCGTGTATTTTTTCTGTTTTTTTTTTTTTCGATCTCACGGGGTTACGAATAATACCAGATCGTCCGACAAGCGGAACGTTTAGCCTGCGCCGTCACCGATCCTTTCGATCAAGGGACGACGTGTTCGGTTTTCTTTTCTTTTTTTGTTCGCTAATCAGCCTCGGTTCATGCTTTTATAGGGCATACAAGCAGCTGGCACATTGGCGTTTCGTTCATGATGGATCGTGTGTTTGATACCGCGTTCCAGGGGATCTACGGTCGTTCCTCTTACTACACCTAACCGACTGATAGCCATGCCTTGAATAGGCACTCCTGTATGTCGATAAAGAAACCTACTGTTTTACCTACTGGGCAGGATTAGAATTGAGAAACCGTTGCATTACGTCGTCAGAACTTTGTTACTGTAATTCGCTACCGTCACTGAACTCTTCGTTCAGAAGTCTTTGGCTGTCGATTGGTAATCTAAACGAACCTATCGCGTAGCAGCCGGTCGGTTAACTGGTTAGGCTAAGTCCAAATTATCGTTACGTCAGGTTAGCGAACAGAGAACGGTCAGGGTTGAGGGAGATCGAGAGGAATCCCCCGGAACGCGACGAAACTGGGGACGCAGATCCCCCGGCTCGTGCAGCATAGTCACGACGATCGTGATCATTCAGACGCACTATGCGAGCACGAGCACATTCAGAGCAATACCATCGAGGAGACATTAGTATATGTAACACACTGCCGGCACCAAGTTCGGAAGCAAGAAGACCATGGAAACTGATCCTTAGTTAGCTCACGATTGTTTCAAAGTGCGAGGGCCTTTTTAGATCTGGCGCTATACCCATCATGCACTGCGGCAAGAACGTTACGTGAGCTTGCCGCTAGATGGCCAAGAGAAAGATTGTAAATACCGACGACGTAATAAAAGTTCAGAGTCTGTCAGTGACGAGCGTTATCACTTTGGTTATTAGGTCGTAAAAATTACTCGAGCTACTGGGAAATTCATCGATGCGTAATTTAAGTGTAATTAGCTTGTTGTGTTTTTAAGGTTAAGCCCCTGTGGCCAACTGCTTCGAAACTTTCTGTCGACATTGTGTTTATATAGTATAGGTATATATATATATATATATGTATATGTATATATTCACGAGACGCACCAATATATTCACGTATATGTACATATATATATAGAGGTAAATGAATATCGAGTAAGTAGGCTAAGATGAATCAATATATTCATGAGAGCATTTGACGGCCGCGTGCGATGCCTGATCATCCAGCTAGCCACGAATTACTTGACAACGAGAGACAGGGTGTTGGCTTCGAACCCACACAAAATCGGTGAGCTCTCAGTTTCCAACCATTCCGAGTGTTGCTACTGTACCTGTAGCAAACGGCCATTAGTGCAAAACAAATGAAGACTCCTTTGACCACAAACACCAGGATCAATACCATCAAACCGGTGCTAAGGGTGTTGTTGTTAGTGTTTTCTGAAAACGATCAATCACTTCGTATCCTACACTTGCGCCCGAATCCAGTTACACGAAATCACACAAGTAACACAACACACTTGGGAATCCTCAGCCACCGTAAGTGTCTTTCAGGGGACGTCAGGGGTTAGCAACCTCCACCGATATCGGGATCAATACAGATCCAAGGTCCCCGACCCCCTGAGAGGTCTTACGTTGGCCGTGAATCCGGGTCCGTTAATCCCTGAAGAGATCAAGCGTTTTAGCAAACTCCTACAACAGGAATTTTTCTCTAGTTTTCTTGCCCCTGAAACGCTTCTCGACCCAAACTCCGATCTCTCGATCCTGGAGTTTGAACGAAGAAGATTCAGTTGTGTATATTAGTTGTAGGTGATAATGAATGTATATTCTGTGACCCATTTAATACCCAGGTGATTGTCACTCGATTAGATTTGTATGTCTTATTTTTGGGTCGATTCGAACGGGTATTAAAGTGGGTTACATGGAATAACGAACACGTACAACTCGATAAGTTTCAAGTGGTCCCTGGAGACACCCATAGATTTATCTTAAAACCTAAATTTATTCAATTTTTGGCGGCTATAATGAAAGGCGACACTATTCTGTGTTAGCCCCCACTACTCCCTACTACGACATATGCTCGTCATGTATATACTGCATACCTAGCAGACGCTACCTTATACGCGGTGGTATTCGATGATCTTCTTTAGTTTTTAGATCACTTTGTACAGTAAATCATCGATGAGTGTTCGAAGGCTCGTCGGCACTGAGTGTTCAGACGTCATCCCTACCACTAAGAGGTCCCCTGTGGCATCAGTCAAGCGCCCAGTGGTGGGGATGACGTCGGAACCGTCAGTGCCAATGAGCCATCGAACACGCATCAATGATTTACTGCCTTAAAAATCGGGATATTCTATGGTCGATTAAGGACAGTGTACGTAAAAACTTGATGGACTAAGTAGCTGCCAGAAGGGTATTGGCTTAGAAGTGGCTAAGTACAGAAAACGTCGCCAGAAATTTGTGGTTACGTTCCGGATATTAAATATGAAAGTTCCTCTCCAGGGATCCCCTTAAATCTTGTCCAACTGTACGGCTGTATGGTGTTCAGTCGACTTGGAAAAGTGGGTCGAAGACGAGCCAGAGAGAGCCCAATGAAGCCTCCCGGCCGATAAGCAATATCACCATTGGAAAATCGTGGTTAAAAAGCCGCAGAGCGGGTAGGATTCATGGCGAAACGTGTAATCGTGTGAGCTTATCGGCCCGTTGTTACACACATGTACGGGGAACGCATCGAATGGTTTATGTGCACAGCTGATGGTATGGCCCCAAATAGAGTTAGGCGGCTAACGGGTATCCCGACGGGAAAAAATGTAGGACGTTGTCTTCGTCTTATTGTGAAAATTAAACGGATCTGTTCTGTTGGATCACTGGCCACTGTAGGATCCTCCCTTATGTTTAAAGTGATCACTTTTATCTTTTATATTTGGCTTCCATTTTAACTGCGCGTCGATCGACGATTATCCGAAATCGAAGCTGTGCCTACCGTGACCAGCGATTCTATTAATCGATTCTTAACCTAAAGTAACCGAAGAAAGTGAAACGACCCGGGTGGAATCACATTTCTTTACCCACCCGGTTGAACGTCTTCAATTTCTTGTGTTATCCTGTGGAACGTATTCGAAAAAAGTTGAATTCGTTACTTTCGCGAAGTTGTACGACACGCAACTTACCGTAGGGGGTCTCTATCTTCTCCGGCTTAAGATATGAGATATTTTTACCGGGTGTTCCGGTTCTCGCGGTTGTCGCCGGGTGTGTGGGGACCATCGACTGTATCGAACAGTCTGGCCCGGTCCATCCAGGATTGCAGTAACACTTGTTCGTGTTCGTGCACACCTGGAACAATTCCAAATCACCGAATCAAACCCGAACTTGGTCCAAGTAATGTGTAAATTGAACCCAAGTCAGGCTTAGGTTAGGTTCGGAGGCCAGAGCTAGGTAGGTATAAACCAGTTCAGAACCTGGTTAAAATTAGGTTTAATTTAGGTCAGAGTCAAGCCAATGTTTGGTCCAAGTCAATAGCAAGTTAGATCTAGGTCAGACTTACGATTTGGATTACGTCCAAATCACGGACAGTCTTTAAGTCAGGTCTCTTCGCCTTAACTCGGACCCAAGTTTCTATAGTGTTAAGCCAACTTACACCGTTGCTCGAGCACTCATTGTTGTTGTGATTGCTGGGACATTGCTCTTTGCCTATGAGCGGGAACAGACTCGTGCAAGTCTGGTTTATGCAGACCTGAAACAAACGACGGTGCTTCGCTCGGACAAATTGAAAGCAAACAGCTTTGTAGACGCCTCGATCCTGACCTCGGTTTTACGGAGGCCGGCCTTAATCCGGCGTTACCGTTTAATTGGACATACATAAGCCGTAAAGGCGATGGGACTCACCAGATTATCGCCGCAGGATGTTCCATCGCGAACCAATCCCATGCCAGGCGTATCTGAACCGTCCGTTTTGCCGCTGGTCGACCTGCGTCCAGAGGAAAAAGTTTCCATGTATACGAATTCTGATCTAGTCAAGACAACTGGCCGACTTACTTGCACTCGTACTCCATGCCCTGGGTCGATATCATGATTCTCAGATGATCTATGCCGGAGATTTCCGGCTGCCTGCTACCCTGTTGACACTGCAGCGATCCGCAACGGACGTTTCTAGAGGTGGAGACACGAAGAGGATCGGTTCAGAAACTGAACGTATTTGCTTTTAATGGAAAATCTTATGTAACGAGTGTGAACTAGACATTATTTTCGTAGTACAGTAGAGGCATAATTCTGGGCTCAGGAAAAGATGGAACAAAAAAAAAAGAAAGTAAAGAGAACAAAGGTGATCTAGATAACTTAGGAGACACAGTATGGACGTAGGTTGCTAACAAGGAAGGAAAAGTAACAAGACAAGTGCAGATGTTCAGGGGATCGTTGAATATACTCACTCCGGCTCGCATTTGATGTAGTGACCGGAGACGTCCATGCCGCAGTGCCCGCTGAACGTCCCCTTCGAATTGAACCGCTAGAAGCAGTGCACATCCGCCCCCATGGCGCCGAATCCCCATATCTGATCGCATTGTAGATCCAGCGCGGAGCAAACACCGTTGAAACAGTAACCATCGGTCTTCGAGCAGGAGTTCCCGTTCTTCTTGTACATGTCCACCGGGCAGTGACCAGATTCGCCGGTACAGACTTCCGGCAGATCGCACTCGTTGGTCGCTTCACGGCAGGTCACTCCACGGCTCAACAGCTGCACAGTGGGATCGATTGAAATTACACGAAATCGACAGAGGCAATTACAGATTGATTTATCAGATACACAGGGAGGTCTACTCTAGCTCAGTTCGTCTTAAGTGTCCCTGTTCAATTTGACAACGAGTCACTATAAAAGAACTTCACGTGGACATAGAGTTAGCTCTGATACGTCTCGATGTATCAAAAAATTGAAACCAATCGGCCCTTTCCGGGGATACGAATTTTCCTAACGTAGTAACAACACGTTGGATTAAAAATACATTAAGTGATTGTGTCGGGTGATCAGTGTTAGTGCAGTGCAGTGAAGTGAATACATATTCGATGGATTAACCCGGCGGCACTTGACGTTGCAACTCTTAACGTCGGCTGGTGTCGCATACCTGCGATCACCAGTGGCATGGACTCTACCCTGCCATAAACCATTTCGTCCGTCGATGCCCAGGCTCGGTACACTGACCTACTGACGCAGGTTTCTACGCTGCAGGTGAATTTCCGTAAGGGTGAGTTCTATTCAGTTTATTGGTCATTATTGTTTTATTAATTTCACCGAACTACAATCACTTCTCGTTTATTTTCTGTTACATTACCTTTTCGTTCACACGTTATTTGAAAAGGAAATTTACAAATTCGTAAAAAGGAATTTACAAAAATGTAAATGTGCATTCGTCTTTTTACGTTACACATAATTTGCCTACATTTACGTTTCATTCATTAATCTCTTTAAATAACAAACGACAAATGATAAAAAGTATGATTTTATTTGTTACGTCTTGTTTATTTGCTATTATTATACGCGGTTTCCTGCGATGCATGGTGACCTACTTGTTCGGAGTTTCGTAGTACAAGCGTAGCGCGTAGCCACCGCTAGCGCGGGAACTCGGCTGGCAAACTCGCGCTCTGATTGGTCGCGGTTTTTCGTTAATATCTCGTAAACGAAGCCTCAGTTTAAATTTTTGCTAAGGAAAAAGTTGTTCCAATTCACCCCCCGAGTGCCACATTTCCGGGTCGGAGGACATTTTTGGGATACCCTGTATAAAATCCCCTAAGTCATCTTTTCAGGCGCACAGCCCAGCGTCAACTTGTTTCTATCGCTATCGACGCGTTTGTCCCTCCCCCCTCCGCCCCTGAATCATATCGTCACGTACGATCTTCACTGCCAGTAGGAGGCCAGATGCCGAATGTGCTCGAGAACCATCAAGATCACTGGTCCGCGATACGGTCTCGAGTATTCGAAATATTTTACCTTGCAATCGCTACAACACGGCCCGGTCGCGCACTCCGCTTCGGATTTGAGTTTGCAGGTGATAGGATCGCAGCAGGGATCGAGCTCGTAGCACTCCTCGTGGGAGCCGCAGTCGCATTGTTCCCCGTCGTCCAGTATCTTGTTGCCGCAGGTCCGTCTCACCTCCACCTGTCACAGGGAGATCTGTTCACGCTTAACGTGCCACCATGGAAGGATCTAGGATCCTGGACGCGATATAGTATCGGTGGAACGGATTAGATATCCCCAAGCCGATTATGTTCTGGGCTAAAAGACTGGATAGGAACTTTAGGTGGTTAGGCGTGGGTTAGATTCTACCACATGGGAGGATCTAGGTTCCTGGACGTGATACAGTGTCATGGTAAAGATTAGCTACTCCGAACTAATGGCCTTATGGGCCAAAAGACGGGATAAAGACTTTAGGGGGGTTTATCATGTCTGAAGGTATCGTAACACCTCCCGCCCCTCCCCCAGTTATCAAGTTTACCCAACCATTACTGTATGTAACGTTCAAGAGACCTACGCTATAGCTGGACCCTGACCTCGTTTGGCTTATTGAGAAGACACATGCCGCTCCAGGCCTGTAGGGACGCTATGTAGTCCGTTTTACTGCACTCAGAGAACTTGTACGGCTGAATGTTGTCCAGGCCGACAATCGACTGGGCCATGATGCATCCGTGCCAGTCACGACACACGCACTCGCTTCCTGCAATACGTTTCACCGTGCGCTGGTTAGAAAATTTCCTGTTCTCGACACCTGAACCATCCGGTGACCGTCTGTACATGACCGTTTTCGTTCTCGGTTGATACGCCAGATGACAGACGGTCCCGGTGGTTCAGGCGTTTGACATCTCGGATAATGGACACTAACTTCCATCGTCGTGGCTCATGCCGATATTGTGGCCGATCATATGGGCCATGGTACCGGCAAGTAGATGGGGCTCGTACGGGTCCAAATCGACGCTGATCCCCACGGCGTTCTGCTTGCAGACGGTAGACGGCACCGCCATCCCCGACTCTCCGCCTTTGAATGTCTCGCCTCTGTAAATGTAAATCGGTAGCTCCGAATATTTAGGGGATGCATGTATTTGGAGGAGGGCGACAAGAACGGACAGCAGTGATAATTGTTCCATAAAAGACAGGGCAAGGAAAAGCGTAGAACTGTAATGGAAGGACCATGTATACTTTTTGGGTGTTCATCCTGATGATGGCGTGTCTTGGAAGCTGATAGAGGATTCCTTCGATGAGCAAACTATCATGGAGAATTAGATGACACAATTGGAAGGTTAGGGATTGGTGTTCGACACGAGCTCATGTCTTAGAGAGTAGATTAGGTAGCATAAGTTAGCTTAGGCCAAGGGCCCCACACCTAGTCGCCTAGTTCTCCAATTGTCCTGTGTTTTAGTGGAGCTGAAGAAGGACACATTGGCATCGTAGTGTTCTTGGGATCATTTCAGCGCTCAATCTGTGCGATCACGAGAAGGACCTTCTAGTGGTGGGGACTGGAGGGTGAAAGACTTTCAGTGATAGGGACGCTGAGCTTCCAAGTACGCTATCTATGTGTATACTCACGTGAGCAATTGGATGGTGTCGTGGGTGACATGGAACATACTTCGCATCGTATACGCGTTTAAGTTCGTCAAAGCGCGCCCGATATCCTCTTTGAAGATGTCTGCCTGGTTCCTGCCCTGCCAGGTTTCGATGTATATGACGGAGACTCGGGTGTTCAACATACGGAAATACTGGAACAGCGAAACGAGGGTACTATTGAAGGGCCAAGAATCACCCACCACCCCTGACAGTTTACGATCATCCTCGATAATACTCACCAAATCAGCGATATTGGCTACTTGGATGGCGTCGTGAACAACCTCAGCGCGGGTGCTGCCGTTCCTCCTCTCGAACTGCTCGGAAAAGGAAGAAGCCAAGGGAGAACCGGGAGTTCAACTTTTAACCGCGCTTTATGTCACGAGCAAACGCCCGGCGCCGTAAGGGCCGTTAAACCGGATCGAATCGATTCGCTTCAACGACGCACACCAGTCGACTTGCCCGATAACAATTATTATCCGTGAATTACGCCCTCGAAAGCCGGAACGACCCCGTCCCGTTTCGACTGTTATGCCCGATGATTGCCGACACCCTTAACCCTTCACGGCCCTCAACATTATATTCCGTCCACCACTCGACTTGTGCATGTGTGTGGGTCCCTGAAATACAGGCTGGTCCACGAGAAACATATCACTTGAATGGTGTTCCATTCAGGTAACGGCACAATAACCATACTTTTTTTCCTTATAGTCTCTCAGCACCCTCTGGGAGCTATCTCGAAATGTGTTGCTTCGGGAGTACACGATACCCTAACCTATAACTCTACAGATGAGGACTGGTGTCCGATCCTAGGATCATTTTTAGGAAACTTCCTTGTACAATCATTAACCGACAGAGTGACTACAATATGATATTCTGAATTTCGATATTTTCCCATATGTTTTAACCTAACTCAAGAACAACTTGATGATCTGTTGCTACTTATTCTCAGTGGACCACCCTGCGAGAGGGTGACTTTAGTCTTTCGATATGGTGGATCAAATATTCTCACTGTCAAGGTCATCGGTACTTTTCTGCGCTAAATTGGTACAATATTTCTGTGGAACAGGGGGTTCCGTGGTCTTTTCAAGGGAGTATATCTCGGCGTGAATAATATAGATCGTACCATGGCCTTATCGATAATGATGGCAGTTTCGATGTATTTGGTTGTGTCACGGACGTCTCTCTTGTATCGATCGGAGGTGGTCTCCGATAGGCCCAGAACATGCTTCTGCCGGCGGTTCTTTTGACGCCTTTCGCCGTGATCAAGATTCCCGGTGTTGGCGCAGCCTTTGTTAGCCTTTGTTCGAGCCTCAAATATAATGTGAGGATGTTTCTGCTAAAAGAGAGTTCCGCATATAGTTAACATTCTCCGTTGGCCGCGTTCTTTTCCATTCGATTATGGAATTTCCACGCCCCAACCCTCCATCCCCCACCGCCCTCTCACTCTAGCCTATCGTTGACCTACTACCCCAACTTTCGCGGGATTAATCATCTTCTCGAATCGAGTAAGGTATGTACCCGTTTTGCTAAATAACAAATATCCCGCGGATGGTCGTAACTTTTTTTTGTTAACCGCTCGAGGCGAATATTATTATCCTGGTGAAATGAAAAAAGAACTGTAATTCGACGAAACGTATATACGGAGTGTTCCCGTTTTTAACTGGAACTGACGGGAATATCTCCTAAGGAACTAAAGATATGAAAAAAGTGTTCTGACAAAAGTTATTTGATAGTGGGACACTATGTGGTAAAAATTAACCTAACTTTGAAACATTGTTTTGGTATCTCCAGTTCCTTGGGAAATATTTCACCGTGTCCAGTTGAAAAAGGCACCCTATATACGGGGTGAACACGAAATTGTATCTCATCGTTCGTTTCTTTTTTTATCCCGCCTTCTTTCGTCGGCGTTGTTACTTCGAGATGTCTTCATGAATAATAACGAAGCCTCATGCATAGAAGAACAACGGGTACGTCCTCCACTCGAGCCTCGAGCGCGACGAACTGGATTTCGTGACGTCGATTTTTTCTTTTTTTTTTTTTAGAAAAATCGTCGAGACCATTTTTCCCCTTCATCGATATATTAATATTTAGAATAGAATTAGATTTTCTCTTCGTCCAATGATAACCACGATTATAGAGATAAATAGTAACAACCTAACCTCAATTTCAGGTACATACGAAAACCGATAACTTTCAGATCCTGGATTTTATTCATCCCCATTTATAGTACCCTGACTAAGAAACTAAAATGAAACTACTGACAATGTTCCATAAAAGTTATGAATTTTAGGATAAAAGATTAGGATCCCAAATGTAGAAAAATCCAATAAACTGATAAGGTGGTACAAAACTAAAGTTCCAGCATGCATTGTGAATGGTATTCGAAGTTCAATGTAACGTAAGGCGACAGTAAAAAGGTGTACTATTCTTCGGGTAATAAGACGCGGTAGCAGTCTTGACGAAACAAGGAATAGGGAGACGACTGCAGAATTTACCGCGGCGATTACTGGTTTACGAGTCGAGCCGGCTTGATGGCGGCTTAACTCGATCCTCTCGCTTCGTCTGCCGTGCTAACGAAACTGGATCGAGCGTGTTTGCCCACGGTGAAACGGCTGCACCGGATCTATCCAGCAAAACAGTGTGTGTGTGTGTGCGTGTGTACGTATATATGCGTGTGTGTGTGCATACGCGTCTCCACGGGACCCTCAGTCACCCGAAATTTCCAGCGTTTCGACCTCTAGCCACGATCTCCCCAGTTGCAAATTAATATCAGATTCTTGCACGCAAAGCAGCCGTTTGTACTCTTTGTAATTCCTGCATTGGCACCCTTGTGTCACGAGGGAGTCGATTTTGTCCAGGAACAGTTTGTTAGGCTATTGGAAAGATTATGAGTCTTTCTGGGATGGTACAGTAAATCCTCGATCAGTGTTCGAAGGCTCCTAGGCATTGAATATTAAATATTTCATAAACTAATGTCCACATGCGGCTGAAACAAGTATCATTGGCTTCGGAATACTAATCTCTATCACTGTGGCAAACCTCATTAAAAAGTCAACGTTACGTCTGGGGACCTCTCCTTGTCAGTGCCGAGAAACCTTCGAACACTCAACGAGGATTTACTGTGCTTTGTAAAAAAAACAGTTAGTGCTTTACAAAAACTGATGGATAGAATTTACGCAGTAACTTCAATATTATGTACCATAGAAAATAGGTCGTTTGGTGTGCAACAACATCAGATGGCCTAGGGCCATATATGGTCACAGGGTACGTATGCAAAAATGATGGCCTTTCCATCAGTAATTTTCAATTAATATGCAGTTGTTGATACAACATTGTTAACTGGAAATAGTTTGTCGATGTAACACAAACAGTTGAATAACCTAGTTGACATACATTTCAATAGAGTCTGGGATTTATAGAACCGAAAAATGGTAATACTTAATAACCCTGTACTATCAATAAATGCGGTGTTGTCAAAAAGAACCATTAAAATAAATCACTTGAATATTGAGGTTAGGTTAGTTACTATTTCAAGGATAATTCAGTCGTTTCAATTCATAAGACGAACAGCATTAGTCAGTTCGTACCAATGTTTTTTAAAATCAAATTTCCGAACAATCCCCGGTTAAGAGCCTGCGACACTAGGAAAACTGACCGACAGATCGCCGCCGTAGAACGGATGAATGACGAACGTCTCGTTCCCTAAATGAATGACACCGCTGACACCGTTACACGTGTGAAAAGCAGCGCTGGCCCCCGGATAATCCTTGACGGTGCCGTGATAGTAGCAATGCTCTATCTCCTGAAACAGATCACCCTCACGGATAACACAAGTCGTGTCTGTTAGGTACAGCAGAGAAACCGCGCAAGGGCTGCTGGGTGGCAAGAACCCCAGTCTTCACCACGTCTTACCTGTTTAGAACTTTGTTCGGCGCCGCTGGCAAGAAAGTCTTTTTGCTTAAGATTCGGGGCTAAAAGTTGCCTGGAACAGAGAACCAGAACACACGTCGCCTATGTGAGAATACGCGTTTCTCCGTCGAATATAGAGGGGCGGGGAGGATGAGGTGGGACACATGCACGTTCTTCGGTGAGACTTCCTCGTATCGATTCGGTTTTCCCGTAAATTGCTTTTCCATTGTCGCTCGCCACGCTTTGTTCGGACGTAACATCGAGACACGACGAGGAAGGGGAAAACCGAGCGGATACGAAACGTCTACACGCGGAATCACCACTTACGTATTTAATTCTAAGTCTAGGCGAAATCTGTGATTGAAGGCCTTGATCAGGAGGGACGTCCGATGATAGTGTCTCCCTGTCTGAAACTTAAACGGGAATCGGTTCATTGGGACCGTTTTTGGTAGACAGAAAATTTTGCATAGGGACTTACATAGAGGAACATCGGTACCAGAAAATTCCGATCACCTCACCCCATTGTCCTATCCTATTTTCTTGTATATCTTGAAAACTATAATAAATATAAAAAAAAATGACGCGACAAAAATTTAATGGCACTTTATGCTCTATAGAAGTGTGTAATGAAATTGTTAAAATATTGTTTTTTAAATAAACAAATATTTAACAATTTCATTACATACGTTTGCGGAGTATAAAAATCCATTAAACTTTCATTCGGACAGTTTTTTAATATCTACTATAGTTTTCGAAATATGTAGAAAAATAGGAAAGGCCACATTAACTTGGAAGGGGTGGTTTCACCCTTGAAGAACCGAATATCAGCGAAAACGAAAGATTGCCCGATGCTTCTATCGAGGTCCCTTAAAAACCCGCGGAGTTTAAAAGACATCAGAATTTTTGGAGTACCCAAGTTCCCTTGTTAAATATGGGCGAACCGGCGACGCGCTTATAGAGAGAGGTGGACACGTTTCTGTAATCGTTTTATGGCCTGACGACTTGTTAGTGAGAAAGGGAGGCAGTTTGGACATTCTTAGTGTCTGGTTAACAGGTTCGCCCATCTTTCTTGGAAATCCTCCGACATTGACTACTTACTCTCATCTTGCCTCTAGAATTTTGATATCCACCCTCACCGACGTACGCTCTCTGAGGAAACTGTAAACGGTATAAGAGTTCTAGATTAGTACTTGATACGGTCAGACGAGGGTTCACATGTACAGGGTGTCTCTGATGAAGATGTTCTCCTCGAAAAATATAATAGAGCAGCTACCAATTTAGGGCGCTATGTCCATGGGACATTTTCTCCTCTATTGTAACTGCTCTGTCGGAACATACGCGAACGGTGGAGACCATCTTTCTCACGAACACATCATCCACTATTTTTCCACGTTCTGAACACCCGGTAATTACCTTCGACACGCCGACGTCTCTCGTGGATATCCCCATTTTCTCGTGATGCCGTAACTGTACCGGAAAGATGATCTGATAGAACTGGCCCCCGATGTTTTTTACTAGCTCTTCGTTTTGTCGATACTCGCGCAGTAGTCGTTCGACCTCACCTGAAATCAATTTCCCCCCGAGCTGAATCGAACGTCCTGCCAATTCACTGCGGGTATCAGCCCGCTTCCATCTTCGTACGCGGGACCACGTATCTACGGAAACCGTGGAGGATTCTTAGGATTCTCTGCTCTGAAGCTTTCTGGGACTCATTTGCTAGCTCCCTCGAACAGGAGAAAACTGAATTCTAAATAATTTTTCAATTCAAATACTGTTTTATAAATTTATCTCCAATTAAATAACAATTGTGCATTATTTCAAGCACTCTGTGATGCCTGTAAATTCACCAACACCTGGCGAATGGTAACCTTTGTTATGTAAGGCCTAATTACAAGATCAAATAAATTGCGCAAATTAACTTCTATATTATACGTTCAGTCTACCTTGCACAGTTATTTTATACATAAATAGTAAATCATCGATGAGTGCTCGATGGCTCCTCGGCACTCACTGGTGAAATCTGTAATTTTTCAAATTCAATTCTATACATTTTAAATACAGGTATAGATATTAAGCAATCTAATTTTCATGTGGCGAATATTTATTAATACTATTATCGTGTAAAATTTAACTTTAATAGGTAAAAAATCTCTTAATTATTCATTCATTGGTGCGTTTATCTTAAACCTCGAAACCAAGGACAGTGAATAATGAAAAAATGCTGATGAGGCTCATTTCACAATCGAGTCCCCTCTGGCGTGAATGGGCCAGGTATACAGTCAAGTACAAATGTCGCAGGTATACAGAGCTGATCAATATTTCCACGTGTATCGACCGAGATCCAAAACTTCTTTTATAAGCATACCATTGAAAAGTAATACGCTCGTCAGTTAGGCAAAGGTCGTCGAGTACGAAGAAATTGTACAAGCGTTAGTCGCGGTTCGACCGTTATCGTAGACACACGTTTCCCCAATAAGGCCCGCGGAAGTGAACAGTCTGTGTAAAGGTGCGTCTCCACTGGTGTTCGCGAACAGTACACGAATTGTTCGCAATGTATAGTTATCCGAAGTGTTGTGGTTATAAAAAGTATGCGATCTACTTGCGAACAGTGTTCAGTGAACTGTTTGTCAGTGAATACGCACCTTAACAGTTCTCGAGGCGAGCCGGAAACGGAACACGGTCGGCTAATTAACCGACGCCTCAGTCGTCGACGCGTGTTTTCCTCGGTGGGAGCCTCTTTCTCCCACGCCTAAACTGTTGCCTGTAACGAGCTTACGATTGACACGAGATAATCTGTGAAGGGCCTCCTCGAACCGTACAACCTCTTATCGACTGTCCGGGCGAAAGCCTCAGTTCAACACGGACCCGTTCAACATGAAGTGCGCCGGGATAATTACTCGTCGCGGCGGTTTTCCGTGTCGTGTCTCGCACAACCGAAGAATTATTACCGAGGTGTACTAATTACTACTCGAACTCGAGGGTGCTCCAGCGTGTTCCGTTTCGACCAGTGTGGTTGTCGAGTATATTTGTGTGCTGGGATCGGGTCTGTGTCGTGTGTGACATAGTGCTTGCGTAGGTCCAGGTCTGGATCAGTTTTAGGTTAGGATTTGTGTGTGTGTGTGTGTGTGCTTCAGTTCTGAATCAAATTTGGCCTAGGACTTTAGTAGCTTTACGTCTGGATCAGATTTATCTTAGGATTTGGTACAGTTCTGCCAAGGACTTGTATAGGGTAAGTTCTAGATCAGATTTAGCCTACGTCTCACTAAAGTTCAGGTGAATTTTTTGTCAGGACATTGCATCAGATGCATCAACATTTTATTTCTCTCCGACTAGTCCTGAACAAATTCAGAATATTCCCAACCTAGAGGGTAGTCTCGTATCCTCCATTTGCTTCAAAGAGGTTATGTTTCATATTTCACAAAAAATGGCCCCCGTTCCGGCCATTTTCTTTGCCCGAAATGTACGATGTTCGAAGTACCCGGTGCGAAAAAGTGTAATACCGTTCGGGTGGGCAACACCTGTTGAGGATATATACGTCGCTTTTAACGGAGATGGGGTTTCCGGTATGGCGGCCGTTTATTTAACCACTGCAACGGCGGCGATCGCGGTTATGCTAATCCCACGCAAGGCGTCCCGTTCACCCGCCGTAACGTCCGTCCGCTCGTCCGTCCGTGAAACCATTTCGTCGCGATTAAATTCAATTAAACTTATTATATGAATATGGATATAGCCTTCGGTCGTTCCGCCGGTTCCGTGAAGCTCCTGGCTCTGTTCTTGACCGGAACCGTAAATCTCCCCGGCTCAACGCTAACGTGAAACGCGTCTCGTACCGTGTACATTAAATATTATCGTAAACATTCCGTTAACGAACGGGGTTACATTGATAGATAGGATGAATTGCCGCCTGGACAAGCTACAAATACTATTTAATAGGTTAGTTTTCATCAAAACTTAAATAAATACAGCTGAACGCTGTTATTGTACACAACGTATATCTAACGCTTATCTGCCAATACAAGTTTCTTTAGTGTAACATAATATGTGAATAGTTTTTGAAAGTTTAATCTTTTCAATATTTTTTAGAAATTACTGTCATCGGTGCGTCTCTTGTATCCCAACAGACAACCCAGTATTCTACATTAAATCTTCCCTGAAAAATCACGAATATTACAGGCGAGACGAAATGTTTTTCACGAAGGGAACAACGGTTCGTCCCTCGGCTAATCGAATCACGTGGTTGCAGAAGAGTAGGGGGTTGTATGTTAATTCGCGTGGGGACCGGACTCTTTGCAATTCAAATGGGACAGGGACAAGGAGGCGCACGCGGTGTGGCCCTACGGTAAACTGAAGAAAATCGCGACGAACGATTTTTTAGGTTAGGTCCGATCGAATCTACCCGTCAGTGCCCCCATCCCTACCCCATCTGGCGGTTGAATCCGTCCGGCGGACGACGCACTGTCCTCACTCGCTCGTCTAAAATTTAACCCAATTTAAGTTTCGCGTTTCCAGCCAATCACCGTTCTGTTGACTTAACAATAAACCATTCTCCCGCGTCCGAGAACTAGATGTAACCGCAGATCGAGTTTCCGAGAGGGAAGTGCTGCAATGCGGTCTAACTCCTCCCCGCCCTCCTAGCCGCGGCTTCCTTTGCGTACATTTCAACCGAGGGGATAGACCACCAAGGAACCCGATATGCGTTCACGTCTCTCTCCCTTGGTTCAGGTCGAACCAACCACCCTCCTCCACCATCCCTCCTGGCCTCCTCGTGACAAATTGCTTTCTCCGGAGAAAATTCCGTTTGACGTGCTTTACCGAGCGTTTTCCGTCTCTTTGCCGATTCGTTAGCGTTACGTTGTTTCGACATTGGAACCCCCCCCCCTCTCCGTCAGCGTTATTCTGTGCCCGCTGGTGTACAAATAACATTCGGTTGGCGAACGATGAATTGCCTTTTGAGTATTTTACTTTGTCTGCATATAATTCTGTACTGTTGTGAAGATCAGACTTTACGGAAGTAAGACTAAAAGAAACAAATTGCGTGGAGTTAGCTTCTATGAGAAATCTAACCTAAAACAGTGGTCGGCCATGTGAGTACTTTGTCAGCGATTTGACGTGAAAAAATAATATTATGGGAGTTCGGTTTGGGTCAATAGTGACCAGTGATAAGATCTGACGGACACGTATATAAATAAATGATATTCGAAGTGTGTTCGTCGACGGGTCGCCGGTGACCCGGCCATATAACTCTAAGAGGTTGAGGCGTACATGTTATGTCTCTAAACGTCTCGAAAAAGGATGATGACGTCATTTCCAAGACGCGATAGCATTGCGTGGTCCATCCAGGGTATCCTGCTCCCCTCCAACGGTATCTCCGTCGGTCGTGTTCCGCGAGGGCGTTGAATTTTCCGCGGCGGCGTACGTTGGCTCGCGTCAAAGAGGAAAGCGGCGACTTTGACTGTAGAACTTTCCCTCCGTACGCATTGTCTATTTACGCGATCGTTTCGTAACTTTTCGTCCGCGTCCGGTGCTCTTTGTCCCCGCGTCAAAGGGGCTGCTGCTTACTACTGGGATACACTCGTCGCGTTCCTTTGCAATTAGAGGAGAGCGACAATGCCTCTCTCTCTCTGTCTCTGTCTCTGTCTCTTGCTCCGTGGAATTGGTTCGGTTTCCACGGCGAAAGGGAGACAGAGATGATACAAGAAAATAGAAGAGCAGGGTAACGATCATTCCTTGGACAGGGTACTCACCAGCAGGAGTCTCCTCGTTCCAGAAGGAGTCATCTAAGGTGTAGTCGGCTTCTGCAATCAAACACGCGAATCGATTAGTAACGCGAGACGGTAGAGGGCGGCACCGATCTCTATTAACTTTTAGGTTATGCTCGTCAAAAGAATAATCTGTCATTTCAGGATTTTTTTTTCTTTCAATCTTTTTTTTTTTTCAAGCATCGATTCAGAAGTGTATTTTAAGGGGAGTTCACACGAAATTCCGATCGTTCCGTAACAGCCGCTCGTCAGTCAAATTCTTGAGTTCGTTCCCGTGAGGGGAGAGAAAATTCCTACGGGAGGCACTCGTTTCGCCGCGAAAACCAACTTCCGGCCCCGAAGGAATTTCGGACGGGTTACCCTGGGAATTTTGTGACGGGGGCCACTGAAAGTTCCGTGTACGGGAACTTTGGATGTTCGTGTTATCGGAAAACGATGGCGGCGATGTCGCGCCACGTCCCCCTGGGACCTCGCTTTTTAATTTTGACGTGGCCCCCTTCGGGAGGACCGAACTTTCTGCTTCGTGAATACCGAACATGATGACGCGTGCTGTTTTCTCTTGTAGCTGTGTAAGAAGACTTACGTCATAATTGTATTGTAATGTATATTTAATTAGGGTGGAAACGGGGGGAGGGTGAGGTGTCATATCTCACAATTGTGGTCAATTTATCACTATCTGTAAAGTCTAATTCCACTGACTCGATCCAGAAACAAAAGTAAGTGTCTAGTAAGTAGACAGTGGTCCAGGAACAAAATTAAACGTCTGTTTTTAAGGTTAAACTTTTCAAACAAATGCCTGTTTATACTTTCAAAATGTTGATTTGCTGAATTGTGATACTGGAATCATTCGTCGAGAATAACGTCGCGGTATTTACAGTAGGCTCGCGATAATTACCCGCATTTAGGGTTCTAGAGATGGACAGTTATAGGAAACGAGTAATTATGGAGAGCTAATAGGAGCCTAACGAGTATGTATCCAGTAGGCAGTTATCGTGAGTCTACTGTATTCCGGAATCGTCGACCCGTGAGTAATCGTGGGACAGGGGTGGCGAGATGGGAAAGCAAAGTATCCAATTGTAACGGGTATCAGCGTCGTGGAGGGTGTTCCGTAGCCTGTTCCCGTGTACGCATTAACTCCGATTGTCGCGGCGAATAGGATTAAAACTTAATTTCACCGGGTGGGGTGAGTTACGTTCCGGGGCGGAAGTCTGGAGGAGGGTGGCTTAGGGAGGAATCGTTCCGTTTACTTTCGTCGCCTGAAATGCGACCGTAACACCCTGAAACTAGCGACAGGCTCTCGTTATTGTTTCGTACTCGCTGAAATAACATCTATACAGCTGCACGAAACGTTATATTATTGTTTCGTTCGCTGTCGCCTCCAGTATACCGGTAGAAATGTGACGTGTTAATTCTCAACAAATATACGTATATTTATGCTGGTGTATTGGAGAATATAAATAATATAGGGAGCAATGAGAATGAGAACTAAACGACTCGTCTGTGTTATTCTAACTGTATAACCTGTATTTGTCAAAAATTAGAGTAGATATAAAAAAACTGTTACAATGAAAATTTGTCACAGATTTGTTAGTTGACTTATTTATTCACAGAAACGATCTAAGTTAGGTTATGCAGGCCCCCAGTTGAAGATCATAGTCTTCCATTACTAATTTTAGGTTATCTGGTTAGTCACAACATAGACACAACAAGAAGCCTCTTTTGGGGGATGACATAACCTCTGTGCAGACCCGGTTACAATTCGACCCTCGATAAACCGCCATTCCTCCATTAACCGTCGCGAACCTAGCCACTTACTCCCCGGGCAAACGTTCGACACTGTCCCCCACAAGAGGACAAAGAGTCGAGAAACTCTAAAGGGGGACGGGTACACGCATGTACCCGCCGAGAGGGTTCATGGTGACGTCTAGGAGGAGAGATGGCGTGGGTGTTGGCGAAGAAGTTCTCCCCGAAGTTTCATTAAAGCTCGCGAAACTTTTTCATCTCCGGGTACAAACCATTCGTCCCGCCCCCCTGGCGCTAGGCTGGGGGGTTTTCATAAAATTCATAAAATGGACGAGGCCTTGGGTAAAAAGAGCTTAGGTTTCCAGTGGCCTAGTTCCCCCGAGCACGCGGTGTAGTATACGTAAAAAAAAAAGGAAACAAGCCTCAGGGCGATGAGGGGACTCGAATGGAATGATAGTCAATGACGCCCCGGTGTTTCTATAGGGGCAAAGGCCCCTCCCCTTCTGCCCCCTATTCCCTGGGGGCGGGTCGAGGGACTTTCACGGGCGGACGAATTCCGCCGGGGGTAATCGACGTGCTCGAAATTACTTCTGCCCCGGACACCGCCATTCTACGGACTCCTTTTTAATAAATAATCGCCGAGTTATCGTGCGTTCCTCCCGAATGAGCCCGGAGGGAGGGTGGGGGGAGCAACGAACCAAACGCGCCATTCCGGAAGTTCCAGGGGGGCTACGAAAGTGACGAGTCGACACACGGTGAAAAAGAGTATTTGGGGACGGCTTCAGAATTCCAAGTTCTATCACTATGCTGAACTTCATTAGCAAGTCAGCGATACATCTGAAGATCTATCCTTGTCAGTGTCGAGCCTTCGAAGACTCATTGAGGATTTATTGTACTAACTAAAGGGTTAACGATTTCTTGACACTTTAGGGTAGCCTAGGGTACTACCTTTGTAGGATTGAGCATGAGATATTGTGGATGGTGATCATCGTCTTACGAAGGGGACGTTCGGTAGATCCCAAAAATCCCCACTGTTCGTGAAAACTCATTGACCCAATAAATGAGCTTCCCGACGAGTTAGGACTGCGTAACGTGTGGACGGTCGAATGACATCGGGAAATGTCTTTCAGACAGTTCAGTGCATCCACAACGAGAGGGAGACGGGGTACGTGATCGTGGATGAGCATCGTTTGAGGATCTGGTGTGGAACGGTCTATCGGGAGGACGTTTTCGCAGACACTGCAACTTCCACCAACGACGACGAGTGACGACTAGGGCGAATGCCGGCGCTAAACGCATTTCCCACGGAGAAAATCGGCGAACCGTGACGGTCACTGATTGGTAAGTGCAACGGAACGTGACGGTTTACGAGGCGGTGTGAGAAGATGGGAGCGAGAGAGGAACGGAACACTACCCTGGTAGAAACGCTGCCCTCGAATGGGTTTGCGATGCTGCGTTCAGCGTCCCTTTCCAATCCTGTCCGAGATTTAGGTCGTACCGAAGGGGGGAGAGGTGGTGGTAGAGGGAGATCCCACCGGCTGTTCGACGATTCGGATCGACCAGCCGAGTGTGTCCTTATCGAAGGATATTGCCCTCCTTCCGACCTTTTTCAAAGGATCCCTTCAGGCCCGATCGTCTTTCATGTTCCTCTTGCGTCATCTTGGAGCTGGGGTTATGTTTGAATTGTTGATTGGGTTTGTGCACTACAGGCTTTCGTGTACAATCTGTTTTAGCATATTAGAACTGGGAGGACGTGGTTCTGAGTCTTCGAAGACCAGAAGTTAACTTGGTCTTCAGCTTTCGTTAGAGTCTCTAGTGATAGTGGTCGACCATGTGTCAGACGATAGTAGGACCAACAGTCGTTTGACGACAGGTTAATGTAATTTCATGCACCCTCTTTTGGGACCAGACGGATCCTATGACCCGGCTATAAATCCTTGGATGGTCAGACAGTGCTAGGGTCATCCACCTTCCACTTCGTTTAAAAGATGTTGACGGTAGCTAGTGTGTAATCCCTTTGAACTGAGTAGAACCGAGCGGAGGGTTAGCCTACAGCTTACTTTCAGCAGCGTTAATGTTTCTGGATACTGATATTGATGTGGTAATAATTATCCTTTCATGGGTAGTGACGAAATATGGTCCAATATAAAGTGATAGTGTTGGAAAAAACAGAAATATTCATGTGGAAGTGTCGAGCAATGGTCAGACATTCTCAAGTAGAGGTATCGAGCAACGGCCAGACATTCTGAAGTAGAGGCATCTAGCAATGGTCAGGCATTCTTAAGTAGATGTGTAGAGCTATGGTCAGGCATCCTATGGTGAAGGTATCTAGCAAGATACCTTCACTAGAGATTCTGCCGAAATTCTGCAGTGGAAACATCAAGCATTTGTCAGGTTGCGACATGTAGAAAGATCTCGTAATACTCAGCCACGATGAAGTACAGGAACTCAGCAAGGCGATACAGTTAAACTAAATTATACGACTACATTTTCTCTTCATTCACGCAGATGCAATCGGTTCCCCCAGGCATCCCGACAATTAATTTCAGACGTCACGGGGGTCGACCCCATTGACGGAGGGGTAGCAGGCTTTCTTAAACGTTCCCGGGAGGTGTTTCGCGAACGGGGGATGGGTGCTTACTCGGAAACAGCGTCGTCGCGTGGCGCAACGTTTTCGCACGGTGAAATTAAACGGTTCAGAGACTCCTATCATCTGCCGGGTAAATCGTGGACCTGGCGCTCGGCTGAGTAAATAGGAACCGGGGGTTTTAGGGGGATGAGATTTACGGGAAGCGAATTCGGTTCGTAAACCCTCTCCCCTCCACTTGTCCCGACTGGAACAAGTCGACGGACGGGGGATAGGGCTTGGTTGTGAACGTGGCAAAAATTTAATTAGTTTTTATCGATTCGAACCGTCCCACTTCCGGTGGGGCAAGCCATCGTTACCATCCCCGTCGTCACCATCCCCGTCGTCACTCCTTTCGGTGGTCGCTAATGACGTCACCAGATCCACCTCGCGCCAAGTGTCAATTGGAGCCAAACGTGCGAAGCAAGCCAGGCTATTCTATTTTCCTTCGAAGAGGGGGTGGTAGAGGGGGAACGCCGCACTGCTTGCTCCGTGGAATCGACAAACCGTAGTGGGTCCCCCGAAAGCAACCGGCGTGCGATTAACTCGAGGAAAAATTGGCCCAGTCGCTCGAGCAAATGCGGGAAATTCTCGCGGCCGATCAACCACCGCTCGTTTCCCTCTTGCCCTCGGGCCTTTTAACGATCTCGCGCATAGCCTCTCTATC